TAAATTCAGAAAATTTAAAAACTTGACAATTCAGATAATTCAGAAAGTTTAGACTTTCGAAAGTCACGAAGTTTCATAAACTTCACGAAATTCGCGAAATTTACGAAATTCATAAACTTTAAAATTCATGAAATTTGAAAAGTTCATGAAATTCACGAAATTAAGAAATTCGCCAAATTCACGAAATTACGAAATTCATAAATTTTATAAAATCCATAAAATTCGCAAATTTTACCAAATTCGCGAAATTTAAGAAATTCATAAAATTCGCGAAACTCATGAAATTCGCGAAATTCGGAAAATTTCGACAATTCTACAAAAATTCAGTAATTTCGGAAAATTCGACAAATTCGGAAAATACAGAAAATTGTGTAGAAAAATTAAGGAACTTCAGACATTTCACAAAATTCGGATAATTAAAAAAATTCAGATAGTTTAGAAACTCAAAGTTTCATAAAATTCACGAAATTCACGTCATTCAGGAAATTTATGAATTTTATAAAATTTGTGAAAGTCGCGAAATTGATGAAATTCATGAAATTCGCGAAATTCACCAAATTTAAAAATTTCATGAAATTCAGGAAATTACGAAATTCGGGAAATTTATGAAATTAGGAAATTTACGAAATTTCCAAAGTTCACGAGATTTGCGATATTCAAAATTCGGAGAATTTGGAAAATTAGAAAAATTTCGAAAATTCTACCAAAATGCAGTCAACACAGAAAAAATGTAGAAAGTTCAAACAGTTTAGAAAATCATTGTTTGATTAAATACAGAAAATTCATAAAATGCAATTTCGACCCATTTTGACGTTTTTCGAAAATTCTTCAAAAATTCAGTCATTTCAGAATTTTGAGCAAATTTGGAAAATTCAAAAATTCTGCAGAAAATGTAAAACCTTCAAACAATGCATATATTTTTTTTAATTTCAAAAAATTCGAATTTCACTCCAAATATTTCGAAAATGTTGCTATATTTTTGGCATTAGCACGCCATGAGATATAAACCTGAATTTTTTGAGAATTTTTAGGCGGCTTTTCCAAAAATGAAATTTTCTATTATGAAATTGACGAGTCATGAAATTCACGAAATCCGTGAAATTCACAAAATTTGGAAAATTCTGCAAAATCCAAGTAAATTCAGAAAATTCTGCAAAACTCAGTGAATCCAGAAAATTTAAAAACTTCAAACAATTCACAAAATTCGGATAATTCAAAAAGTTCAGAGTTCAGTTTAGAAAGTGAGAAAGTTTCATAAAATTCATTAAATTCGCGAAGTCAGGAAGTTTGCGAAATTTACGAAATTCATAAACTTTCTAAAATCCATGAAATTCGAGAAATTCTCCAAATTCACGAAATTTACGAAAATCATACTTTATTAAAATTCATGAAATTCATAAAATTTACGAAATTCGCGAAATAAGGAAATTCGCGAAATTTACAAACTTTATGAAGTCCATGAAATTCGCGAAATTCACCAAATTCACAAAATTTAGAGACTGGAAAATTCGGAAAATTTCGAAAATTATGCAAAAATTCAATAAATTCAGAAAATTTTAAAACTTTCGACAATTCACAAAATTCAGACAATTCAGAAAGTTTCATAAAATTCACGAAATTCGCGAAATTTAAGAAATCCATAAACTTTATTAAAATTCATGAAGTTCGTAAAATTCATGAAATTCACGAAATAAGGAAAATCGCAAAATTCATGAAATTTACGATATTTACAAACTTTATAAAATCCGTGAAATTCGCGAAATTCACCAAATTCACAGAATTAAAAGAATTTGGGATATCTGGAAAATTTCGAAAATTATGTAAAAATTCAGTAAATTCAAAAAATTATGCAAAAATTCAATAAATCCAGAAAATTTAAAAACTTTCGACAATTCACAAAATTCAGATACATAATTCAGAAAATTCAGAAAGTTTAGGGTTCAGAGAGTTTAGAAAGTCAGAAAGTTCCATAAAATTCACGAAATTTACGAAATTCATAAACTTTATTAAAATTCATGAAATTCACGAAATATGGAAATTCGCGAAATTCACGAAATTTACGATATTTACAAGCTTTATAAAATCCATGAAATTCACCAAATTCACAAAATTTAAAGAATTTGGAATATTCGGAAAATTTCGAAAATTATGCAAAAATTCAATAAATCCAGAAAATTTAAAAATTTTCGACAATTCACAAAATTCAGAGAATTCAGAAAGTTAAGAGAGTTCAGAAAGTCAGAAAGTTTCATAAAATTCTCGAAATTTATGAAATCCATAAACTTTATAAAATTCATGAAATTCACTAAATCAGGAAATTCGCCAAATTCACGAAATTTGCGAAATTCATGAACTTTATAAAATCCATAAAATTCGCGAAATTCACCAAATTCACAAAATTTAGAGAATTTGGAAAATTCGGAAAATTTCGAAAATTCTACAAAAATTCATTAAATAAAAAAATCAGCAAAAATTCAATAAATCCAGAAAATTTAAAAACTTTCAACAATTCACAAAATTCAGGTACATAATTCAGAAAATTCAGAAAGTTTAGGGTTCAGAGAGTTTAGAAAGTCAGAAAGTTCCATAAAATTCACGAAATTTACGAAATTCATAAACTTTATTAAAATTCATGAAATTCGTAAAATTCATGAAATTCACGAAATAAGGAAATTGCGAAATTCACGAAATTTACGATATTTACAAAATTTAAAGAATTTGGAATATTCGGAATATTTTGAAAATTATGTAAAAATTCAGTAAATTCAAAAAATTATGCAAACATTCAATAAATCCAGAAAATTAAAAAACTTTCGACAATTCACAAAATTCAGAGAATTCAGAAAGTTTAGAGAATTCAGAAAGTCACGAAATTCATGAAATCCATACTTTGTAAAATTCATGAAATTCACTAAATCAGGAAATTTGCCAAATTCACAAAATTTAGAGAATTTGGAAAATTTGGAAAATTTCGAAATTTCTACAAAAATTCAGTAATTTCAGAAAATTCGACAAATTCGGAAAATTCAGAAAATGGTGCAGAAAATTTAAAAGCTTCAGGCAATTCACAAAATTCGGATAATTCAAACAATTCAGAGAGTTCAGACAGTTTAGAAAGTCAGAAAGTTTAATAAAATTCACAAAATTCGCGTAATTCACGAAATTTATAAACTTCATAAAATTCGCGAATTTGACGAAATTCATACAATGTATAAAATTCATGAAATTTATGAAATTCAGGAAATTTGCGAAATTCCCACAGTTCACGAAATTCGCAATATTTAGAATTCAAAGAATTCAGTAAATCCAGAAAATCTAAAAACTTCAGACAATTTACAAAATTCGGATAATTTAGAAAATTCAGAAAGTTCATGGTTCAGACAATTTAGAGACAGAAAATTTCATAAAATACTGAAAATTCACGAAATGCACGAAATTTACGAAATTCATTAACTTTCTAAAATTTATGAAATGCATAAAATTTGTAAATTTGTAAAATTCGTTAAATTCGCAAAATCATCAAATTCGAGAAATTCACGAAATTTACCAAATTCGCAAAATTCACGAAATTTACAAAGTCCGGATAATTCAGAAAATTCAGAAAGTTCATGGTTCAGACAGTTTGGAAAAACAGAAGGTTTCATAAAATACTCAAAAATTCCTAAAATTCACGAAATGCACGAAATTTACGAAATTCACACTTTGTAAAATTCATAAAATGCATCAAATTCGTAAAATTTGTAAAACTCGTCAAATTCGCAAAATCACCAAATTCGAGAAATTCACGAAATTTACCAAATTCGCGAAATTCACGAAATTTACAAAATCCGGATAATTCATAAAATTCAGAAAGTTCAGATTTCAAAGAGTTTAGAAAATCAGAAAATTTCGTAAAATACAGAAAATAAAATTCACGAAATTTGCGAAATTCATAAATTAAATTCAGGAATTTCGAGGAATTCACGAAATTTACGAAATTCACAAAATTCACAAAATTCGGAGAATTTGGAAATGCGAAAAATTTTGAAAATTCTGCAAAAATTCAGTCATTTCAGAAAGTTCGGAAAATCGGAAAATTCAGAAAATTCCCCAAAAATTCAGTAAATACAGAAAATTCATAAGCTTCTGACAATTCACAAAATTCGGATAATTCAGAAAATTCAGAGAGTTCAGACAGTTTAGAAAGTCAATGTTTCATAGAATACAGAAAATTCATAAAATGCAAATTTCGACCGATTTTGACGATTTTCGAAATTTAACTAAATACATTTTCTCGTAGAATCGCCCATTGAAATATCGAAATTAAAAGAAAAATCCAAAAATTCGAATTTTTCAAAAATATTGCTCGATGACCCTAAACACGCTATATTTTTGGAACTGGCACGACAAGATCTATAACCCTGAATTTTTTGAAAATTTCAAGACGACTTTTTCATAAATGAAATTCTCCACTGTGAACAGCGGTCCCAAGAACTGCGTCACATTAAAAACTGTTGGGTCCTTCGTTTTGTTTTTCTTTCAAAAATAAAATACCAGGGGTTTCAAGGTCTATTTCACATTCTTAAAAAAACACTAGGGGCCCCCAAAAGACTGCCACATTCTTACAAAAAGACACTAGGGGTTTCCAATTTTCTTTTAACCTTTTTTAAGAGTAAAACACAAGGGGTCCTCCACATTGTCTCTGATCCAATGATCTGTAGTGTAGTTGTTAATAATTTCATTAATAAAACACACAAACCTGGAAAACCACAGTGATTAATTTTCCCTCATTTCGCCATTAAAATAAATGCGTTTAGATAATTATATTATCAGCACTTAAAGTTAGTAAAAATCATCAGTCAATAAAATCACACTTCCAAGAACAAAACGTAAAATATTTATTACGTTTCGCTATTCTCCGATACTCGATCTTATCGCCATATCAATGACAGCATTTAAAAACCTTATTTTAGATATCCGTCCCAAGTATCGTATCTTATCAACTCACAATTATGATTTCTCACAAATACCAAGTTTATTTATTGCGAATTAGTGCAACTGCGATGTCCATTTTACATTCTTAAGTTCCGTGCTTCAAGAAAACAAGAAAAATGGCAGCGCGACAGCGCTTCGGAGGCAGCAACGAGGAAACAGAACCCCTGTATTCCTCAGAAATGTAAGTAACCATGAACTAACGACAAGTTCTACCTGGAAAATTACAGGCAAGAGCAAGTAAGGGGCCCGTGGGATGTATTCGACGACCCTCCAAGAGAACCAACCGTGGGTTCCGAAGTCAAGCGAACATACATAGAATTCGGGGTAAAGTTTCTGAAAATTGTCACCATGATGATCGTCTTCTGCATCGTTGTGGGGGCCGCTGCAGTCTCAAAAGGCACCCTCCTACTCATGACGTCACAAATCGGACAGAACGTCTCTAGAACGTACTGCAACAAAGACCTTGGTAAGCATTTTTTGTAAAAGAACGGATATGACGCAATCAATTTAAATTTGACTATCACAATCTGATAACCACTTGTCTTGTTATATTTTTATCATTGAGATTACGAATTTGAATTAATTCCCAGACCAGAACCTGCAGTTCTTGGTCCACATAACCCGCGAGGAGCGCGTGGAGTGGATCTGGATGATAATGTTCGCCTTTTTTGTCCCGGAACTTGGCACCTGGATCCGCGCCATCCGCAAGTGTCTTTTCAAGCACTGGAAAGTCCCGTCGTTCCTGGAAATCCTGTCCCTGTGTATCACCGAGCTGTGTCCTGCCGTCGGCAGCGCCATTCTCGTTTACGTCGTCCTGCCCGAGCTGGACGTCATAAAGGGCGCGATGCTGACGAACGCCGCATGCTTCATCCCCGGGATCGTCGCAATGTTCTCCAGGAACCCCCGGTCGGTAAACGACGACTTGCGCATGACTCTGGATATCGTCAGCATCGTAGCGCAGGCTTCCAGTTTCGTGATCTGGCCCCTAGTGGAAGACAACGTGACGTTGTACATGATCCCGGTTTCGGTAATCCTGATTTCGCTAGGTTGGTGGGAGAATTTCGTGTCGGATTCGTCGCAGCTGCCGTTTATTAAACAGTTAGCGAAGAATAAGGAGGAGTTCAAGACTGAGACGTACTTCATTTACACGATTATTGCGCCTTTGAAGTGCATATTTTTCTTTTGTACTGCGTTGGTGATTTTCCAGATTCGGGAGGATGATGTGAGTTTTTTGTTTGATAGTTTTGGGGAAGCTTTTAGCGATCGTACTCTTAACGCAACGCCGATTATACCGATGCTGGAGGTGAATTATCAGGAAGCGATTCAGGATGGAGTGCCTGCGATTATTTCGGTGGATTATCTGACGCCCATATGGGTTTGGTTGATTAATATAGGGGCGACGTACATCTGTTACGCGTTTGGGAAATTTTCGTGTAAAGTTATGATTCAAGTTGTCGGGTTTGCCTTCCCGATTAATCTCTCGGTACCGGTTCTTCTTTCGGGACTCATAGCGATGTGTGGAATGTACTATAAAGACGAGTGCAGCTTTGTTGATACCATACCGGCGTATTTGTTCTTCGACTTACCACCACTAGCGTTTCTGGAAGATTTTCTGTCGAAGCAACATGCCTGGATTTGGTTGATTTGGTTGTTGTCGCAAGCGTGGATCACTGTCCATATTTGGTCACCCAACTGCGACAAACTCTCGAGTACTGAGCAACTTTTCATGCGACCGATGTACGACGCGTTTTTGATAGATCAGAGTCTAGCGATGAATAGGAGGCGCACTGAGCACCCGAGGCACGCCAAAGACGACGACGAAGTAGAAGTCACTGGTAAGTACCGCGACACCAACGTGCCCCCCCCCCCCAATTTCTCTTTATCCGTGATTTCTAGACCTGGAACCCGAGACACCCCATAGTAAAGACGCCATAACCCGCATCTACGCTTGCGGTACCATGTGGCACGAAACCGACGACGAGATGATGGAATTCTTGAAGTCCATCTTGCGTTTGGACCAAGATCAGTGCTGCCACAGAATAGTGCGCGAATCTTTAGGCCTAAAACACGACAACTACTACGAACTGGAAAGTGCGTACCCATTTTTCCCTCTATACAGAGCGTCAATTTATAATTTTAGCTCACGTGTTCTTCGACGACGCCTTCGTCCGTACCAGCAAAGACGACAACGACCCCCACGTCAACGAATACGTCGAAAAAATGGCCTCCCTTATAGACGAAGCAGCTTCCAAAGTTCACAAAACGTCAGTCCGAATCCGCCCCCCCAGGATATACCCCACTCCCTATGGAGGCCGGCTCGTCTGGACGCTCCCCGGTAAAACCAAAATGATCGCCCACTTGAAAGACAAAGCCAAAATCAGAGCCAAAAAGAGGTGGTCGCAGTGCATGTACATGTACTACCTACTAGGTTTCAGGTACCTGAGTGAAGCGTCTCGACTGTGAATAAACCACTTTTTCCACAGACTGCAAGCAAACGACGAACTTTCCAGAGAAAGTAAGGAAATCAGAGGCGAAAACACGTACGTTCTGGCTTTGGACGGCGACATCGATTTTCAACCCGAAGCTTTGCACTTGCTGGTCGACTACATGAAGAAGAACAAGACTCTGGGGGCGGCGTGCGGTCGCATTCACCCCATTGGTAGCGGCGGGATGGTGTGGTACCAAATGTTCGAGTACGCAGTGGGTCATTGGATGCAGAAAGCCACCGAACACGTGATTGGATGCGTACTGTGTAGCCCGGGGTGTTTCTCACTGTTCAGAGGCAAAGCGCTTATGGATAAGAGCGTCATGAGGAAATATACCACGAGATCGTCCCAAGCCGCCCACTACGTCCAGTACGATCAAGGAGAAGATAGATGGCTGTGCACTCTTTTACTGCAACGAGGATACCGAGTCGAGTATTCGGCTGCTTCCGATGCTTTCACGCACTGCCCGGAGGGTTTCAACGAGTTCTACAACCAGAGGAGGCGCTGGATGCCCTCCACCATGGCCAACATTCTCGATCTTCTCATGGACTACGAACACACAGTCAAGATTAACGAAAACATCTCCATGTTGTACATTTTCTATCAGATTATTTTGATGATCGGTACCGTCATAGGTCCTGGTACTATTTTCCTTATGTTAGTGGGGGCTTTCGTGGCTGCTTTTGGCCTCGACCAGTGGAACAGTTTCATGTGGAACCTGCTACCAATAGCCATTTTCGTCTTAGTTTGTGCCACTTGTAGCTCCGACATTCAGTTGTTCTTCGCCGGTCTTATCAGTGCCGTCTATGGGTTAATCATGATGGCGGTATTCGTGGGCGTGATGCTACAAATCAGCGAGGATGGATTCCTGGCGCCGTCGTCACTATTCTTCTTTTGTTTAGCAGGAGAGTTCATAATAGCGGCCTTATTACATCCAATGGAGTTCAATTGCTTGAAGTACGGAGTTGTTTATTACGTCACGGTACCCAGCATGTACATGTTGTTGGTTATTTACTCAGTCTTCAACATGAACAACGTTTCGTGGGGTACGAGAGAAGTCACGGTGGTACCGAAGCCCGAAGGCAAAGTAAGTAATTGATTAATGACGAATTATTTTCAACGGAAGAGTTCGCCGGGACGGGTTTATTATGGGTGTCAAAGATTTTCGTCCTAGCTCACTTGGTAGCTGAGATATCCGTACGCGGTGAATATATCCCGCTTACGCGTATCTCCAACACTAACGGAGCTAATGCCTGGGGAAAAAAATCGGGGATACTTGGTACATGATACAATAACACGACACAATTTTTTTTTAAATTTGGCCAAAACAAAATTATTTCGACACGTATTCGAGAAATTTTCAACAGAAACGTTCGTCAAGACGGGTTTATACTGGGTGCTAAAGATTTTCTTCGTAGCTCATTTGGTAGCTGAGATATCCGTACGCGGCGAATATTTCCCGCTTACGGATATCTCCAATAATAACGGAGCTAATGCCTGGGGAAAAAAACCTGGGATACTTGGTACATGATTCAATAACACGACACAATTTTTTTTCAATTTGGTCAAAACACAATTATTTCGACACGTATTGGAGAAATTTTCAACAGAAGCTTTCGTTGGGACGGGTTTATTGTGGGTGTTAAAGATTTTCTTGTGTAGATGTCGTGTCAGCTGAGATATGGGTACGCGGTGAATATTTACCGCTTAGCGATATCTCAAAAACTACTCGAGCTACAGTCGTGGGGAAAAAATCTGGCACATTAAATTTATGACCTAACAACATCGTTGCAGGAAAAGGAGCAAGAAGTTAAAGAAGAAAAGAAAAAACCAGAAACCAAAGACAAAATTTTGACTTTCTTGGGGGCTAACGCGGAAGACGACACAGGCGCTTTTGAGTTCTCCCTGAACAAGCTTTTCAAGTGCATGTTCTGTACCTACAAAGCCGACGACAAGGAAAACGAACAACTCAGACAAATCCAAGAATCGGTTAAAGGTCTATACAAGAAATTAGAGTTACTGGAGAAGAGTCAAAACGTAGAATTACGTCCGCCGGTGAACACCCCCACAGGTACCACACATTTGGAAGGTGCGAAGGCAATAGTGCGTAACAGCCTTCCGGATAACTACTCCGACAACTCAGCTACCGAGATAAATTCTCTACCGTCCGACGAGGTTATGGAAAACAGTTGGTTCTACGACGGGCCTCTAATCCGCGGCGAAGTCCACTACTTAAACCGACGAGAAGAAACCTTCTGGAACGAGCTTATCGAGCGCTACTTGCACCCGATTGAAGACGACAAGGTCAAAGTAGCCGCAGAATTGAAAGATTTGAGAGACAAAATGGTCTTCACGTTCTTCATGTTGAATTCTCTGTTCGTACTAGTCGTGTTCCTGTTAACCCTGAAGAAGGATCTGCTCCATCTGAACTGGCCTATCGACCCCAAAGTCAACTTCACGTACCACGAGAACCTGAACGAGGTAAAACATCGAAAGTCTTCACTCATTTCTCAACTCAAATTCTAGATCGACGTCTACATCACGTACTTGGAACTGGAACCCATCGGCTTCGTTTTCTTGATCTTTTTCGCCCTCCTCATGGTCGTCCAGTTCGTCGCCATGTTGATCCATCGTTTCGGCACTTTCCAGCAAGTCATCACCAAAACGCGCTTGGACTTCAATTTCTTCAATAAGACGGTGGAAAACATGACGACAGAAGAGATGAGGGCCGCCGATCCGCTGAAAATGGTGGCCGATTTACAAAAATTGAAAGGTATTAATAATGAATACGAGGACGAAAAGGACGCGCCGGTGGATCAGAGGAAGACTGCAAGTAATTTGGCGCAGGTCGTAGGGCGCGCGTCGAGTAGACCCGTTTTCTACCTCGACGAAGCGTTCCATAGGAGAGTTACGCAGATCGGTAACAGCGAAGGAAGTAAGTTCGTTTTACAAGCGGTATTGCAGATAATTTTTTTTCTTTTTTTTATGAATCAAGGAGTTAGCGAATTTCGGAAAAAGAGTGTGGCGTTTGTGCAAAGAAGAATGAGTAAAGCGCCGGGAAGGGTTTCTTCGCAGGCTCATCGTCCGAGTCAGATAAGCTTTTCCAATGGAAGCATTAACGAAGGTTTTCAATTCCATGATCCCAACAGTTCGGATGCCGACGCGTAGGCGTGCACTGCTTTGGAGGCTATTATATACTTTTACGATTTATTTATGTACTTAGATACTAATATTTTGAATAAAATATCATTCACGTGATTGATTTAGTTGCAAGAATGTGAAAAATAGGCTCTCCCTTTCTTTGACTTTCTCAGTATATACTTAACTTCGACTGTTTATGTTTATACCTAGAGCGAATTCGATGACTGGCACAAACATCAGCGATTAAAAGAAAATGAAATTTGGTTTATTTTGTGTCCTCAACGCATACGATTAATTCATACTTAGTTTTTTCCCAAAAACATTAATAAATTTAAAGAAATTTGGCAAAAATGTTTGTTGTAAAATATTCTTAAACAATGTTGATTTTATAGTTTGCCTTTTTTTCCTAATATACAAAGTATTTTGAATAACACGATTCTCAACAACATATTTTTAATTTCTTATAAAAAAATAAATATTTTGCAGTTAAATTTCGCCCCCTTGGCTCACGACGAATAAAAAAATGATCACAATTGAGGTAGGGTGGGTGGGCGGGGCTAAATTTTTCCTTTTTGTGTTGGTATGTGTAGACTTATTTCGACAACAAGAAACTTAAAACATGTCTAAAATGGTACATTTTTATGTATGTCGATCTTAAAACGTTTCTTCTTGTCGAAATAAATCTACACATTTTTAGAAAAAAAGGCAAAATGTAGCCCCGCCCACCATCCCTGTCTCAATTGTGATGATTTTTTTATTATTTGTCGTGTGCCAAGAAGGCGGAGCTTAACTGCAAAATTCTTACTTCTCTACGAGAAATTAAAAACATGTTTTTGAGTATCGAGTTTTTCAAAGAATCCTATGTATATTAAGAAAAAAACAGGCCAAAAATTAAGCCCAACCCATATCCATCCCAAGCTCAGTTGTGATGAATTTAGAACTTCTCATTGGTTGTCAGACCGAGGGGTGGAGGATAATTGCAAAATCCATATTTCTCCACAAAAATTTACTGTTTTAAACATGTTTTAAGTTTCTTCTTATGAAAACAAAACTAGATATATTAAGCAAAACATAAGCCCCGCCCACCCACCCTCTCTCAATTGTTATGAATTCTTCATTCGTTGTCAGATCGAAGGGCGGAGCATAATTGCAAATTCCATATTTCCCCACAAAAATTTACCCTTTTATTAAACATGTTTTAAGTTTCTTCTTATGAAAACAAGACTACATATGTTAAGCCAAACAGAGCAAAATATAAGCCCCGCCCACCCACCCTCTCTCAATTGTTATGAATTCTTCATTCGTTGTCAGATCGAAGGGTGGAGCATAATTGCAAAATCCATATTTCTCTACAAAAAAATTACATTTTAAAACATGTTTTAAGTTTCTTGTTGGGAAAAGAAGAGATTAATGAAGTTGCCCATGGTCTCTTATGATGCAAAATGTAGCCCCGCCCACCCACCCTGTCTCAATCGTGATGATTTTTTATTCGTCGTGAGCCAAAAAGGCGTAGCTTAACTTCAAAATCCTTATTTCTCTACGAGAAATTAAAAATATGTTTTTGAGTATCGTGTTTTTCAAAGAATCCTATGTATATTAAGAAAAAAACAGGCCAAAAATTAAGCCCAACCCATATCCATCCCAAGCTCAGTTGTGATGAATTTAGAATTTCTCATTCGTTGTCAGACGGAGGGGCGGAGGATAATTACAAAATCCATATTTCCCCACAAAAATTTACTGTTTTAAACATGTTTTAAGTTTCTTCTTATGCAAACAAGACTACACATATTAAGCAAAACAGCGTCAAATTATAAGCCCCGCCCACCCACCCCCTCTCAATTGTTATGAACTTTTCATTCGTTGTCAGATCGAGGGGCGGAGCATAATTGCAAATTCCATATTTCCCCACAAAAATCTACTGTTTTAAACATGTTTTAAGTTTCTTCTTATGAAAACAAGACTACATATGTTAAGCCAAACAGAGCAAAATATAAGCCCCGCCCACCCACCCTCTCTCAATTGTGACGAATTTTTCATTCGTTGTCAGATCGAGGGGCGGAGCATAATTGCAAAATCCGTATTTCCCTACAAAAATTTACCCTTGTAAGCATGTTTCGAAGTTTCTTGTTGGGAAAAGAAGAGATTAATGAAGTTGGCCACGGTTTCCTATGATGCAAAATGTAGCCCCGCCCACCCACCCTGTCTCAATTGTGATGCTTTTTTTATTATTCGTGTTGAGCCAAGAAGGCGGAGCTTAACTGCAAAATCCTTATTTCTCTACGAGAAATTAAAAACATGTTTTTGAGTATCGTGTTTTTCAAAGAATCGTATGTATATTAAGAAAAAAACAAGCCAAAAATTAAGCCCAACTGATATCCATCCCAAGCTCAAATGTGATGAATTTAGAATTTCTCATTCGTTGTCAGACCGAGGGGCGGAGCATAATTGCAAAATCCATATTTCCCCACAAAAATTTACTGTTTTAAACATGTTTTAAGTTTCTTCTTATGAAAACAATACTACATATATTAAGCAAAACAGAGGCAAAATATAAGCCCCGCCCACCCACCCTATCTCAATTCTGACGATTTTTTTTGATTCGTCGTAAGCCGAGGGGCGGAGCTTAATTATAAAATTCTTATTTTTCTACGAGAAATTACATGAATGTGTTCTTAAGTAATCGTCCTATACAAAGAAAACTAAAGGTTTTAGTAATTTTGCGGTTAAACTCCGCCCCCTTGGTTCATGGCGAATAAAAAAAATCATCACAATGGAGATAGGGCGGGTGGGCGGGCTTACATTTTGCCTTTTTGTTTTAGTATGCGTAGACTTATTTCGATAACAAGACTTAAAACATGTCTAAAATGGTAAATTTTTGTGTATATCGATCTTAAAACGTTTCTTGTTGTCGAAATAAATCTACACATATTAAGAAAAAAAGGCAAAATGTAGAGCCCCACCCACCCTGTCTCAATTGTGATGATTTTTTTTATTCGTCGTGAACCAAAATCCTTATTTCTCTACGAGAAATAAAAAACATGTTTTTGAGCACAAGAAAAAAACAAGCTAAAAATTAAGCCCAACCCATATCCATCCCAAGCTCAGTTGTTAATTAATTTAGAATTTCTCATTCGTTGTCAGACCGAGGGGCATAATTGCAAAATTCATATTTCCCCACAAAAATCTACTGTTTTAAACATGTTTTGAGTGAAAACAAGACTACATATATTAAGCACAACAGAGGCAAAATATAAGCCCCGCCCACCCACCCTATCTCAATTCTGACGATTTTTTTTGATTCGTCGTAAGCCGAGGGGCGGAGCTTAACTGTAAAATTCTTATTTTTCTACGAGAAATTACATGTGAAATATGTTCTTAAGTAATCGTGTTATACAAAGAAACTCAAGGTATTAATAATTTTGCGGTTAAACTCCGCCCCCTTGGTTCACGGCGAATAAAAAAAATCATCACAATGGAGATAGGGCGGGTGGGCGGACTTACATTTTGCCTTTTGGTTTTAATATGTGTAGCCTTCTTTTCAAAACATGAAACTTAAAATATGTTTAAAATGGAAAAAATATAAGCCCCGCCCACCCACCCTTACCCAATTGTTAAGAATTTTTCATTCGTTGTCAGACTGAGGGGCGGAGCATAATTTCCATACAAAAATTTACCCTATTAAACATGTTTTACGTTTCTTGTTGGGAAAAGAAAAGATTAATGAAGTTGTGCACGGTCTCACTGACGATTCTTTCGTAAAGCTTTTTATTTAGACTGCATTTTATTTAAAAAAACACGATAAGAATGCGAGCGCAGCGAGCACGTTCAGGTGTTATTAAAAATTACTCGTCAGTGTCCCTGAGAAGATAAATTATGAATAAGAAAATTTTTTATTGTCAAAAAAATTGAATTCTAACTTTCTTCTTATGAAAACAAAACTACATATATTAAGCAAAACAGAGGCAAGTTATAAGCCCCGCCCACCCACCCTCTCTCAATTGTTATGAATTCTTCATTCGTTGTCAGATCGAGGGGCGGAGCATAATTGCAAAATCTTTATTTCCCTAGAAAAATTTACAATTTTAAACGTGTTTTAAATTTCTAAGAATTAAAAAAATCATCACAATTGAGATAGGGTGGGTAGGCGGGCTTTATATTTTGCCTTTTTTTTAAATACAGACAGTATTCTTTGAAGAACACGATACTCAAAAACATGTTTTTAATTTCTTATAAAGAAATAAGTATTTTGCAGTTAAGCATCGCCCCCTTGGTTCGCGACGAATAAAAAAAATCATCAGAATAGAGACAGGGTGGGTGGGCGGGTTGACATTTTGCCTTTTTGTTTTAGTATGTGTAATTTCTTTTCACAACATGAAACTTAAGACAGTTTAAAATGGAAAATGTGTGTAAGGAAATATAGATTTTGCAATTAAGCTCCACCCATAATTGCAAAATCCGTATTTCCTTGCAAAATGTACCATTTTAACTATGTTTTAAGTTTTTTGTTGTGAAAAGATGGCTATGTATATTAAGAAAAAACAGACAAAATATAAGTCCCGCCCACCCGCCCGATCTCAATTCTGATGATTTTTTTTATTCGTCGTAAGGCGAGGGGCGGAGCTTAATTGTAAAATCCTTATTTTTTACGAGAAATTACCGTGTGAAATATGTTCTTAAGTGATCGTGTTATACAAAGAAAACTTAAAACATATATACACATAAAATTTAACAACTGGTTCAGTAGTTTCGGAGATTATCTGTTTAATAAAAATCTGGACAGACAGTAGACAGTCAGACGGAAACGGGCTGTTATTTAATATTTACATCTATCGTTTTTTATGTGTCTGTTACATTTTTAGGAATATTTATTGTATTTGTAATTGTAACATCTTGCATATGTGACTGTTTCGGAAAATTTCCCGGCATCCTGGGGGCATAATCCGACACTGTTTGGACCACTTTTCAACAGAATCTAAAGGTTTCAAGAACTCTTGTGTTTTATTTTTGTAATTTGAGTGTACTTGTCAACAACCATTTTGTGTATGTTATGCAACCAACATCACTCCAATACAAAATCAAATTATTGCCGTAATATTTTAATTCACGATTCAAGGAAACATTTTTCGATATATTTAGAATTCAGATTTTTGATTCGCACTTGTGTGCGATAATTTTCACCAACGACTTCAAAAATAGAGGCTTTTATAACAAACACGTCTGTTTTAACTCTTGACCCTGAAGCAGCGTCCCTCAAACTTTTCTTCACACCGAAACCAGTCGAAACCGCAAAACTCAATAAATTTCAACAATTCCACATTGCAACCCCCACAACTCATGTCTTCAATTTATTTAACAAACAAAAATATGCATTTACAGCACGAGGAACACAATTTTGTTGATTCGAAACTACCTGAAACCCCGTTTCGGAACCGCTGCTGCGCAACCAATTACCCCGACTAGTCCAAAACGAAAAATCCCCAACCGTCAAGCAAATTTTCGCTACATTCCATCGCCTTTCCCAGCGGCCCGCAATGGACTCGAGCGACTACATTTTAGAAACTTTAAGAAAAGACATCACCGAACACGACCTACAAATTAAGGCCATCATCCAGGTACGTGGGAGCCCCAATAAATCAAAACTTGTCCAACACTTTGACACGTCTGCGTAGGACATCAACTCGTGCGTCGGACCGTTGGCGGAATTGCACGGACTGAACAGCGCGGGACGTTCGAAAATCTCGGCGCTACGAAAATTCATAGACCGATTCGGGGACATCGCCAAGGAGCGCAAAAACCCCACGTTTTTAAAAGACCTGATGTTTTACAGGGAGCAGCTGAGCAGGTAATAATTGATTCCAAGTGGCGACGGTGGTATTAATTTTTTGCCGTAGCACGATGGACGCTTTCAAGAAAGCCAACATTAAGTCGATGCTGGCGATTGAAAAGGGGGCGAAAGAGGAGTTGATGAAGCAGAAGAACGAAGAGACGGTGTTGCGGCAGCGGCAGAAACGGGATAAGGAGAACGTGGCGAAGATGAGTTCTAATATTACAGAGCAGTTGTTGTCGATTAGTAGGCAGTTGGCTGACACCACGAAACGCAGCGCCGATACTTTGGACGCTTTGGTCACTTCCTCTGATACCGTAATCGGGTCACAGGAAGAGCTGAAGGTGACTTCCAGCACGATTAGCCAGTCTGGGAAGCTTTTAGCGAAGTATGGCAGACGGGAATTCACTGATAAAATACTTATGTTTTTCGCATTTATCTTTTTTGTAGCGTGCGTGTTCTACATTGTACAAAAAAGATTGTTTTAAATTAATTATTTATTAATAGAGTATGAGTTGTTTATTACTTCCCGAGCGTAAGCAAAGGAAGTATTGTAATCGAGTCCGTCGGCCGACTCTCTACTTTTACGTTTTCTCGATCTTTCATGACCCCTAGAAGACGAAGAAATAGGTCTCCCATTTCCGTCTGTCTGTCCGTCTGTCCGTCCGTCTGTCCGTCCGTCCGTCTGTCCGTCTGCCCCCGGATTTTTATTAGACAGATAATCTCCGAAAGTACTGGTCCGATTGTTGTGAAATTTTGTAGTTATATTAAGAATATCATGTAGATGGTAAAACGCTAACCAAAATTTGTCTAATCATCCCCACCACTAATGCGATGACGTCACTTCAAAATTGTACATAGTAAATGGGTTTTCAATTGTATAAAATAACATAGTCCTATACATGTAGTTTACAACTCCGAATCGACTTTTCACCCGAAACGTCCAGATTTTTGGAAAAAAAATCAAAATTATAAAACAACATTTTGAAATTTAATTTTTAATCTGCTAACCAGAATGCTTTGAAATGTTGCAGATGTTTTAAGGCTATAAAGAGCATCATAAATTTTTAGTCAAAAAATATTTGCTTACCCCCTCCAAAAACTTGATGACGTCAGCTCAAAAGTTTGTGGAATAAATCATATCTAAAATGTACAAAATATGATGAGTCTGTACTTGTGATCTATCACTCCATTCATATTTTTTGGATTTGCATATACAGAGTGACTAAAAAAAATTGATGAATGCGTAAATATATTTTATTGATTTAATCAGGAACTACAAAACCGAATGCTCTGAAATCTTGCAGATGTTTTAAGGTCATAAAGAGCATAATAAATGTTTAGTCAAAATATATTTGCTTATCCCCTCCAAAAACTTGATGACGTCAGCTCGAAAGTTTGCCGAATAAATCATATCTAAAATGTACAAAATATGATGAGCCTGTACTTGTAATTTATCACTCCATTCATATTTTTTGGATTTGCATATACACTTATACAGAGTGACTAAAAAAAATTGATGAATGCGTAAATATATTTTATTGATTTAATCAGGAACTACAAAACGGAATGCTCTGACATCTTGCAGATGTTTTAAGGCTATAAAGAGCATCATAAATTTTTAGTCAAAAAATATTTGCTTACCGCCTCCAAAAACTTGATGACGTCAGCTCAAAAGTTTGTGGAATAAATCATATCTAAAATGTACAAAATATGATGAGTCTGTACTTGTGATCTATCACTCCATTCATATTTTTTGGATTTGCATATACAGAGTGACTAAAAAAAATTGATGAATGCGTAAATATATTTTATTGATTTAATCAGGAACTACAAAACCGAATGCTCTGAAATCTTGCAGATGTTTTAAGGTCATAAAGAGCATAATAAATGTTTAGTCAAAATATATTTGCTTATCCCCTCCAAAAACTTGATGACGTCAGCTCGAAAATTTGCCGAATAAATCATATCTAAAATGTACAAAATATGATCAGTCTGTACTTGTGATCTATCACTCCATTCATATTTTTTGGATTTGCATATACAGGGTGATTCAAGAAAATAAATGAAAGCGTAAATTTATTTTACTGATTTACTCAGGAACTACAAAACCGAATGCTTTGAAATCTTGAAGATATTTTAAAATTATCATAAGCATGGTAAATTTTTGATCAAAATGTATTTGGTCGTCCCCCCTAAAAAATTTATGACGTCACCACAAAATTTTGCTGAATAAATCCTATCTAAAATGTACAAAATATGGTGAGTCTCTTCTTGTGATTTATCATTCCATTCAAATTTTTTCGATTTGCATATACAGGGTGACTCAAAAAAATTAATGAATGCGTAAATTAATTTTATTGATTTAATCAGGAACTACAAAACCGAATGCTTTGAAATCTTGCAGATGTTTTAAGGTTATAAAGAGCATAATAAATTTTTAGTCAAAATATATTTGGTTATCTTCTACAAAAAACTGATGACGTCAGCTCAAAAGTTTGCCGAATAAATCGTATCTAAAATGTACAAAATATGATGAGTCTGTACTTGTGATTTATCATTCCATTCATATTTTTGGATTTGCATATGCAGGGTGACTCAAAAATATTAATGAAGGCGTGAATTTATTTTATCGATTTAATCAGGAATTACAAAACCGAATGCTTTGAAATCTTGGGAATATTTTAATGTTATTATAAGCATGGTAAACTTTTGTTCAAAATGTATTTGTTCATTCCTCCTAAAAAAATTGATGACGTCACCCTTAAATTTTGCTGAATAAATCCTATCTAAAATGCAAAAAATATGATGAGTTTGTACTTGTGATTTATCATTCCATTCATATTTTTTAGATTTTCTTAAGAGGTGGTTCAAAAAAATTAATGAAGTCAATTTATTTTATTGATTAAATTAAAGGCAACACTTATTATTAGTATTACACCCCAACCAACCCAATTTGGTAGACACAAAATTTGTTAAAGGAAAAACTCGGTTGAAACATAAGGGTAGCACGCTTATTTACATCGACTTTAACATTACAGACCTGCATTTGTTTTATGCGTTCACTTGGTTCCGCGAATGTGAAATAGACATGTTTATAATCAACCAATTGTGAATTTCACCGTCAAGAATTAAAATAAAACCCAATGTTTTATATAATAAGCGGAAGTCGAAGCAATAAAACCGATGGTCGTTTTGTTTACAGTTTCTCTGTTTGACTTTCACGTATGCTGTTACGCTTGTCATCTTAAATTAAGAATGTTTATACATAAACGATTTTCAGTTGCCGTATACGCGAGTAAATTGTTTCGTTATTTTATTGATTATAAAAAATCAATATTCAAAACGACCCAATTCATTTTCCTGAAAATTTGGGAATACAATAATTTTATTCTTAGTATTACACTACATCTATCCCAACTGATATACGTGTCCTTGCAAAAATGTTGATGACGTCATCGCAATTTTTTTTTAATTCCCACTACAAAAATGTATGAGAAAAAAACACAATAGCCATGCAGTCGTCAAGTTTCCGACAGCGAGGGAAGTACTGTCTAAACTCTTTAGACCAATTTTTTAGTTCCTTAAAAAAGTCGACATCAACATTTACTTTAAATAAATGTAACGCGTATTTTCCCGGCGTCATTTTTAAGAACCTTTGTTCTTCCCCGTTGTGTTCCATTAAAATGCAAGGCCTCTTCTTAGAGTGACCTTAACACTCACGAATATCAAGAAGATAAATTATGACGCATTTCCATTTGATAAATATAGTTCGTCCACTGTTTTGTCCATTATTATTTGAGTCGGTAAGATGAAGTGGTTACACACAGTTTCAACTCTCGTGTTTTTGGTGTTGATTTTCAACGTCAACGGTCTCCCAGCCCCATTTTTGAAGTTATTTGGGGCTGAAGACTATTATTATCCCTCTCAGAGCAGACCCAGAAACCATGGAAGATCGTACGGTTTCAACGAAGGTGGTAATCGACGGTATAAAGCCATCTGTAGAATCCACGCCGTTGACTCTCTAGCGTTTCCGGGTAGAGTCGGAAAACCAATTTGCCCATATTAATCAGGTAATTAAGTCATAAAATCGTAATTATAGTAACTTAAGTCACTTTCAGTTGTTTACATTCAACGAAGTACGAATACCCCAACGCCATTAGTATTCACGCCCAGTACCACACAACCTCAACCTTAACAATGGGATTCGTCACCAGAAGTCACTCAATCCAGAAATAACACAAAGTCATAGTTTTTATTGTCCTATTACATACAAATAAATATATACAAATCTACATCGTCTATTTCCAAACCTTGACAATCCCGTCCCTCGACGCCGACACCATGAAGCACTGCGACGCTTTACAGAGCGCAATGTCCGTGATGCAGTCTCTATGTCCAGCTGGGGGCTGCTCCGGGCCGCCCCTAGGCGCATCCTCCCCACTCTCTTTGTTCTTTTCCACGACGGGATTTTCATAGATCACCGGGAATCCGTCGATTAATCTACTTGCGAAAGTGACTTTGGCGCCGTTGTCACTGGCCGCCGGGGCCACCAGGTGCGAGTTGGCGGGCGAGTCCAGGTTCCAGAAGCGAACCCTTTGATCAGTACCTCCAGACAGCACGAAGGGACTGCGGTCGATGCAGCCCGCCAATAGGGCGCAAATGGTGTCCGAGGAGCTCTGCGTCTGGTTTAACGGTGATTTGAGTGTGTGGGGGTTGTGAGAGCTTACCGTGACTTGGGAGAGCGGCGGGTCGGTGCTACCCCATAGAATCCGCTCCAGTTGTTTCGTCTCCATGTTCCACATCAGGATTTTGTTGTTGCCGTGGACGCTGGAGATTATCCAAGAGGGCTCGGTGGGGTGACGGATCACTTTTTTTATTTTTTCGCTACCTAAAATGGCTTGGTAAGAATAGCGGATTAATTAAGTGATTGTGACTGTGTGGTGGAGTGTTAGAGTCGTGCGGCTTAAGCTATGTTAGTTTACTTAAATAGAGTACTGGAATGAGTGACTTAGTACTTAAGAATACAAAAAAATGGGTTACCTGGTTGATCGAACGAATTAATCGGCAACTGGAACCTCAAATCCCAGGCTTTGTAGTGTCCATGACTCGTCCCTAGCGTCAGTAAACTCTGGTACGAGTCCACGCAAAAACTCGTGATGAATCCCTTTTCCAGACTATTCTCCAGGCGCCAAGCCGTCCCCGGCGCTCTTAAATCCCAGCCCACGATCGACCCGTACAACGTGGCATAAACCACCAGGTTCTGGAACCCGGAATCCAGAGTCTGCACGTCGACGGCGTACCCCTCTTCGTCCAAGTTGAGCTGACGCGTTTGGAACAGGTTCATTCTGCAACAATTACATAAAATACGCACTAATAAACGTGAAGACTTACTTGTTTCCAGCTGGGTCCAGCCGCAGGATGTTCATAGCGCCGTCTACAGTCGCCGCCGCCAGGGTTTGCCCGCCGTCGCACACCGCCATGCCGCTCACCGCCGCCCCATTGGCCACCTTGAAGTGCTGCTTAGACCGGTTGGCGATGTTGCGGCCCTCCATCTTGGCGCAGTCCCACAGACGGACGTAGCCGTCGGCGGAACAACTGGCGAAGAGAGGCTTGTCGGGGACGGTGCACAAGCGGGTGACGGCGCCGCGGTGCTCGTGGAGGTGGGCCACGAGGACGCCGCGCAGGTTCCACTCAGGGGGCGGCAGCTGCGGCTGCCACGCCGCCTGCTCAGTCCATTCTTTGCCCCTAATTATCATCATTGTTGAAAAAGTAGGGTTAGAATGCGCGACGTACCTCAAGGCTTCCAAGTAGTGCTCCTGCTGTTTGATTTTGAGTTTGTTCAACTCTAGGTAGCAACTAGACCTTCGATCTGGAATGGTGATAACGGTAATGCTGTTATAAAAATCTGCAAAGTTAGTAATTAGCACGAATGCCTAGGTATTAGTAGTAAGTTGTCTTCTTTAGTTGAAAAATTTGTTTAGAAATTCAGTGTACAGAAGCATGCTATTGTTAAGGGGGAACGCTTAGCGAGAGACAAGTTTGAATTGGGCGCCATTTGTTGCCTTAAAATACCGTTTTCTTGTTATTTAGATAAGGGAACAAATTAAATGTACGGTTCTATTTTTAAACGCTCGGTAAAAATGATAAATGCTAAGTTATATAATAAATGCTCAGTTAAAAAATAAATTCTCAGTAAAAATAATATATGCTTGGTGAAATAATAGCTGCTTAGTTAAATTAATAACTGTTCGGTTAAATAAGGAATGCTTAGTAAGAACCCTACGTGCTAAGTATAAAAATTGGTCGAAGGTTATTTCGACAGAACTTCCCTCGCCCGTCAAGTCCAGCACAACAAATAATACTCAAGCAGAAGGCCCAAATTGAAAAATGAAATATACTTAAAATAAACAACAAATCGGAAAAATCGAAAAATCAAAACACCCAAAAATCGAAATAAAAAAATTAAAATATCTGAAAATTGAAAATCCAGAAATTGAAAAGTTCTCAATATTCAAATCCTGAAAAATTGAGTATCGAAAACTTGAAAAATTGAGAAATCCAAGCATCAAAAAATAGTAAAATCGAAAAATGTAAAATTTAAAAAATACAAAAATTGAGAAATAGAAGAAAAGGAACATCCAAAATTTAAAAATTCGAAAAATTGAAGAATTGGGAAATCAAAACACCAAAAAATCTAAAATTCAAAAATCAAAAAATTGAACATTCGAAAAGCCAAAAAGTCGAAAAATCGAAACATCGGAATGTTCAAAAACTGAAACATCGAGAAATCAAAACATCAACAGTAGAGGAGTCAAACAATAAAAAAATTAAGAAATCAAATTAGACCAAAATTGAAAAATCGAAAAGTTAATAATTGAAAAATTGAAATTTTTAGATTTTTGTATTTCGATTTTTCGACTTTCATTTTTTTCGATCTTTCAATACATATCTCGATTCAAGTTTTTCAGTTTTTCAATCGTTCAATTTTTGGATTTCCTCATTCTTTGATTTTTAATTTCTCGGTTTTTCGATTCGAATTTTAAATTTTTTTTATTTTTCGATTGTCCGATTTCGTAGTTTTTCGAATTTAAATTTTCTTGACTTTTTGATTTCTCGAGATACCAATTTATGGACTTCTCGGTCTTCTACTTTTCAATTTCACAATTTCTCGATTTTTCAATTTTTAAATTGTTCGATTTTTCGATTCCTCGAGTTCTCAATTTTCCTATTTTTTCATGTTTTCGAATTTTAGATTTCAGGATTTTTTTAATTTTTGATTTCTCGATTTATCGACATTTCGGTTTTCTATTTTTCAATTTTCAATTCTTAGATTTTTTGAAATTTTCAGTTTTGCGATTTATAGTTTTCTCATTTCTTTCATTTCGCGATTTTTCGATTTCTTGGATTTTTAAAATTTTGGATTAGGATTTTTTGAATTTGTGATTTCTCGAGACATCGATTCATTGAGTTTTCGGTTTCTCCGTTTTTCAAATATCAATTTTACGATTTCTGGATTTTCTATATTTCAAATTTTCAATTTGTTAATTTTTCGAAATTTTCGACTTTTCGAATTCTCAATTTTTTAGTTTTGTAGTTTTTTGGATTCCTCGATTTTTTTCAGTTTTTCGACTTTTCGATTTTAGGATTTTTTGAATTTTCGATTCCTCGATTTTTCAATTTTTAGATCATTTTATTTTTGAGATTATTGAATTTTTCGATTTTTCAGTTTTACGATTTTTTTTTTCAATTTTTCAATTTTTCGTTTTCTAGATTTTCAATTTTTTGATTTCTCAGCTGTTCGTTTTGGGATTCATCAATTTTCGGTTTTTCAATTTTTTGAGTCTTCAATAGTTGATTTTTCAGTCCCTTGATTTTTCTGTTTCAATTTTATTAATTTATAAATTTTAGATTTTTCACATTTTTCCTCATTCTTTGGTTTTTTATTTCTCGGTTTTTCGATTGTTTAAATTTTAAAGTATTTGATTTTTCGATTGTCCGATTTCGTAGTATTTCGAATTTTAGAATTTAAATATTCTTGACTTTTTGATTTCTCGAGATACCGATTTATCGACTTCTCGGTTTTCCACTTTTCAATTTCACAATTTCTCGATTTTTCAATTTCTAAATTGTTCGATTTCTCGACTTTTCGATTCCTCGAATTCTCGATTTTACGATTTTTTCAGGTTTTCGAATTTTAGATTTTAGGATTTTTTGAATTTTTGATTTCTCGAGGTATCCTTTTTTATCGACTTTTCGGTTTTCTCGATTTTTCAATACATATTTCGATTTAAATTTTTCAGTTTTTTGAATTTAGGATTTCTTGACTTTTTAATCTCTCAAAATATCGATTTATCGACTTTTCGGTTTTCCATTTTTATTCAATTTTCAATTTTTAGATTTTTGAACTTTTGACTTTTCGATTTCTCAATTTTTCAGTTTTGCGATTTTTCGTTTCTTCGATTCTTAATTTCATATTGATCCGAAGAAAACGAGAGGGTGGGTGGGCGGGCCTAGTACCTGTTAAGATAAGACTGATTTTGGCAAGTGAAATATCTTCGAAGAAAAGAGAGGGCGGGTGGGCGGGGTTAGTACCTGCTAAGATAAGAATGATTTTGGCTAATGAGACACCTTCTAAGAAAACAGAGGATGAGTGGGCGGGGTTAGTAGCTGTCAAGATAAGACTGATTTTAGCAAATGAGATACCCTCTAAGAGAAGAGAGGGTGGGTGGGTGGGGCTAGTATTTGATAAGATAAAACTGATATTGCGAAATGGCATACCCTCAAAGAAAATAAAGGGTGGGTGGGCGGGGTCAATACTTGCCAAGATGAGACTAATTTTGGCAAATGACTTACCCTCCAAGAAAATAAAGGGTAAATGAGGGTATATCATTCGCCAAAATCAGTCTTATCTTGCCAACTATTGGCCCTGCCCACCGATCCGTTATTTTTTCGAGAGTATGCCATTTGGCAATATAAGTTTTATGTTAGCAAATACTAGTCCCGCCCACCCACCCTTTCTTCTCTTAGAGGGTATCTCAGTTGCCAAAATCAGTCTTATCTTGACAAGTACGAGCCCCACCCACCTGCCCTTTATTTTCTTAGAGGGCTAGAACTTCCTAAGATAAGACTGATTTTGGGAAGTGAGATTGATTCCTCTTAGAAAATATAAGATTGTTTTAAATTTTCAAAAAAAAAAACCGGAGTCCCAATATTAACTCAAAAACAGGTCAGGTCAGAATTTTCCAAAAATGGAACACCAAAGTCTCCCAAAATTTTTCATTCCGATTTTTAATTTCCTTATTATTGTTCCATTTTTTGGTGTTCCAACTTTTTAATTTTTCGTTTTTTCAGTTTTAGATTTTTCAGTTTCTCGATTTTTCAGTTTTTTGTTTCTTGAATTTTGATCCACAGTTTTTCTAGTTTTCATTTTAAGTACGTAATAATAATTACAATTTTTAAAATGTTTTATTTTTTCAATTTTACGATTTTAGAATTTTTTCATTTTTCAGTTATTGGATTTTAAAACTTTTTCTGTTTTTAGTTTTCAGTAGTAAAAATTAAACAATTTAAAAATCGAAGAATTGGAAAACCAAAAAATCTGAACCGAGAACTTGAAAAATCGAATAATCGAGAAATCAAAACATCAAGGAAAACAAAAAAATTAACGGAAAATGTAGAACTTAAAAATTGAAAATTAAAATACCTATCGAAAAATTGAAAAACCGAGAAATCGAAACATCAAAAAATGGAAAAATTGAAGAACCGAAACATTGCAAAATCCCAGAACTGAAATACTGAAAAACTGAAAAATGGAAGGAAAATTGAAAAATCGAAAAAGTGAAAAAATTCAAAACTGAAATCTTGAAAAACTGAAAAATGGAAAGAAAATTGAAGAATCGGAAAAGTGAAAAAATCCAAAACTGAAACATTGAAAAATTCAGAAATGGAAAAATTGAAAAATCACAATTGAAGAAAGAATTGAAAAATCGAGAAACAGAGAAATGGGAAAATCAAAAAATCAGTTAATCGAAAAATTGAGAATTCGAAAAATTTAGAAACGTCAAAAATTGAAAACTGAATAATAAAAAAAATTAAAAATCGTAACACTGAAACATCGGAAAATTGAGAAATCGAAGAATGAAGAAATTCGAGAAACCGAAAATATGAAGAATCGATAAATTGAAAAATCCCAACAGTAATATGTCGAAAAATTGAGAAATCGAAATCGGGCAAAACTGAAGTACCGTAAAGTTAATAAATTGAAAAACTGAAAATTTTTGAAAAAAAAATCGTATCAAAAACTAAAAATTCAAAAAATCGAGAAATTGAACAATCAAAAAGTCAAAACATTGAAATCCCAGTAAGTTGATAAATAGGAAAATTTAAAAAACAAAAATTTTCAAAATCCAAGAATTGAACAACAAAAAAAATCCAAGCCTGAAAACTCAGAAAATCGAATGATCGAGAACTCAATACATCAAAGAAAACAAAAAATCTAAAATTTAAAAATTCGACAAATTGAAAAATCATGGAACTGAAAAATCGAAAAGTCGAGATAGTGAGAAATCTAAAAACCTAAAACTAAAAACCGAGAAAACACAATATCAAAAATTTGAAAAATTGAAGAAACGAAATATTGCAAAATTCCAAAGCTGAAATATTGAAAAACCTAAAAATGGAAGGAAAATTAGAGAATCGAAACAGGGAAAAAATCCCAAACTGAAACACTGAAAAATTGAGAAATGAAGAAATGGGAAAATCAAAAAAATCGGTCTAAAGAGTTTAGACAGTACTTCCCTCGCTATCGGAAACGTGACGACTGCATGCCTATTATGTTTTTTTTCCATATTAGATTTCAACGCATTCGGTTTTGTAGTTTCTGATTAAATCAATAAAATAAATTTGCGCATTCATTAAATTTTTTGAGTCATCCGAATCCAAAAAATATGAATGGAATGATAAATTACAAAAAGAGACTCATCATATTTTGTACATTTTAAATAAGATTATTCGGCAAACTTCAGAGCTAACGTCATCAATTTTTTGGAGGGGATAAGTAAATATATTGTGATTAAAACGGTCCTGGTTTAATAACAAAAAAATATTGTTCGTCTATGCAACAAGCTCGTCTTAGACGAAGTATTCGTAAAAAAAATATGTCGTAAAAAAATGTACGTATGCTGGTCCCGATTGCGATTATGGTTTAAATATTTGTTAGATAATCCTGACATGGATGTAGAAACATTTGTCACAGCCAAAGAGGTTTTTTTGAGAAAATTATCTTTGAATTTAGACCAAGTTGAAATAGACACTAGGCAACAGGCACATTTGGGCAAAAGAAAGAGAAATTAGGGTTACGGCTTCAAATTTTGGACGTATTTACAAACTTAGACCGACTACAGCAATAGCGAAAACTGTGGAGTCTCTGTTGTACAGTACATTTAGAGGTAATAGTCATACATTCTATGGACAGCAAAGTGAGGAAAAAGCTTTCAAGTGTTTTGAATTTCCTTACTTGGCTGCTAGTCCAGACACGGTTCTAGAGGATATCAGTGCATTAGTCGAAATTAAATGCCCTTCAAAATCGCAAGATTTGTCTCCCGAAGACGCGGTTAGAAAAAAAATAGTCAAATTTTGTACATTGACAGACAGAGAGTTGAAAGTAAAAAAAAAATCATGATTACTACTTTCAAGTCCAGGGACAAATGCTTGTTACGGGTATTTCACAAGTTTATTTTGTTGTATGGACACCCAAACGAATAAATATAGAAACAATTTATAAAGACGAAAAAATATATGTAAAAAGATGGTAGATAAACTTGGCAGATTTTACTTTGGCGCATTATTGCCCGAAATAATTGATTCAAGAAGAAAGAGGAACCTGCCTTTGCGAGAGATTTTATTAAAATAACTAAAATTTGTTTATATTTTTCTTTGTACTTTAATAATTTATTAGGAGTACATTTTTCATCACCAAGACTTGCATATTTTTATTATAAATATATTTTGAAAATGATCTCTCGCCAAATGAAAACATATACGAGCACTTTTTTCGAGTAAACAATGAAGGGAGAAGTTACTGGGCGTAGGGCTTTTTTAAAACACCTCCTTTCTGGGATAAGTAGTAGATACACTTAGCTACTTATACGTGTTAAACAAAAGCTGTATTTTATATATTTTTTATTATTATTATAAATATGTTTATTAGTTTTATTAATTAACAAAGCAAAATTTATATTAACAATAATATTACAATGACTTTTTAGTAATCATGTGTATTGAATTCAGGATCCTGAGTGGAGTAAAAATATTATAGTTCCCCAGTTTTAATTCGGTTTTATGATAGTACCTCATTGCGTAAAAGTTAATTTTCTTAACAATAGATTACTACGGCCGGTCCTGGCGGCTTGTTATAAAGCTGAGTTCCTTGCCATAAATTAGAAAAATCAGCCGAAAACTCTAACAATCAGCTTATGGTAAAGCAGGCGATAAGGGTTTTACCTGAAAGTCGCTTCCGTAAATTTTAGTGGCGCTCCTATCGGCAAAGTACTGAACTAACTGCTCAAATTCTGTCGAATTGATACCCATTTTTTTCAATAACTGTTAGTTTTGGTTAAAAACTCTGCTAACCAATAGATCATTAATTTTCCTCTGATATTCCTGTTAAAATTATTCGACGTATTTTGCATTAATTTGTGGTATATTTTGATTTTAATAAACACATTATTATTTAAACAAATTGTACCACTAACAAACATTTAATGACTCTGCGTCCTGTAAAAAGTGATGTTTTATCCATGTGCGAATTTTCAAGCGATGGTAATGACTCAAAAAACTTGAAAAGAAAACATAAAATGGTGCTTTTTTACGATATTTCTCAGCCATATTTTTTTAGTTGATTGAACTGGTCTCTGCGCCCTAGAATATGAAAAAAGTTGCAGTTTGATGTATGACACATCTATATTAATATCATTTTTTCATACAAAAAACCAAAAAAATGTTATACATCGTCTAGCGAGTCCCCTTAATTTTCATTGCGTTAATAACCATCCCAACTCACCATTTTCGCATGCAATACAAAAAATCACCCATAATTAAAATCACGAGTTTTTTTTTTTAAACTAGTGGTGTCAGACTTACACTGGATGTACGACCGCTCGTGCAGACTGATATTGGACGACGGATCCGTGCTGATGAAGGGTGTGTGTGGGTCTGGGGGCGGCGATGAAGGTCGCGAAGACGTCGACCGCGACGACATCCCTCCAGAATTCGTGCTTTCTGAGTGTCGCGTCAAAATATCAGAGCTGTAGTTCCAATCAGAGTTGATGTTCGTGTCGATGGAGCCCGAAGTGTTGGTGCGTTGCAGCCGCCTTAAAAACACCCCAAATCTCCAAACCTGGTTACACAATGTCAAACAGTCACCTCTCTGCGATGAAATCAGTCTTCTGCGCCTCCCCTAAATAAAAAACGTGACTCTTAACTTGATTCCCGTTGTAGCTTTGGAGCTCGATTTTGCCGTCGGTGTAGCTGTATTTAGGGATCACGGAGACTTTGTGTTTGTTGATTTTTTTGACGTGGCTTTCCATTTTGAGTAGATAGTCTTCCATGGTGTCGGTGAGTCCGTTGGCTTCCAAGCGTCTGAAAAGCTAAAAGCTTCATTACGATGTGAATAGGGATGATTTTAGAAAGTTTACGTTCTTGATTGAGGCGGGACACCAGTCTAAACCGGTCACGCGACCGAGAAGTGCCGCCTCTCTGGCTATCTTTCGTTCCTTGAGGAACTTGTATAACGGTTCGATATCGGTAAAAGTGACCACGCTGTCGTAAATATTCCTCGGAATTGGAGATTCAAGTGATTCCAAAAGCAGCTCCGGTCTGAAACGCACCTAGTAAATAGTGGCGTCTACAAATACACACACACTACATACTTATCAATTTGAATCAACGGATACTTCATATACATGCTCAAATTCGGTATAATCTTGCACTGGACATCCAAAACCGACAACGCCCTCGTTGTCGTCGTTATAAACCCAACCACCGCTTGTCTAATCCACAAGTTCGGGTGAACCAAAAAACACGAACACTCAGACACCATTTCGCACAACGCGGGTTTCGTGAGCAACCCCAGCTCAGTCAAAGCAGACATAGCGTTAATACTTTTCGTGGTAACGAACTCGCACGAGTCGGTCAAACCCTACAACTTACGTTTTTAAAAAAAACACTAACCACTCTTAAAATTTTACCTGTAGCAACAACGGGGTGAGAATCCCTGAACAGTGCCACCCTATATAAGCCGCCACCCCCACAATACAATCAAAGAACGACCCCCGCAATTGCTTGTCGTCCTTATCGTTCAAGAACGTGATCATGTGTGACAATAAAACGTCATTAGCTTTGTGTTTTCCGAAAAACACGCACAGTTTGGTGATCCCGTTTTCAATGAGGGTTTGTTTGACTAAAGCTTGCGAGTCTGTGAGCAGCACGCTCACGGTTTGTTCCACCATTTCGTGCAAAGCTTGCAGTTCCAGTTCGTAGTTGAAAGTGTGGGTGTATTTTTGTTTGCTTATGTTGTTGTCGTACCAGTCGTTTTGGATTTGGTCGAGGTAACGTAGTGCGATTTCTGCCAAAGTGGCTATGTTTTTGGCGTAGGCGGCTCGTACGCAGGTGTTAGGGTCGGCTGCTAAGTGTGCTAGACCTGGAAGCACATACTCTGGAAAAATATTAGAGTCGGACTTTGGGAGTTGTTGCACTAGGTCTAAGCACTTCGTGATTGTGTTAATTGCCGAAATTTTCACTCTAGACGAAAAATCACGGGCTAAGTACATCTGAAAACACGGAATTGATTATAAAACTAGACACAAGTTACGTTTATTACGATGTATGGCAAAATCCGGTCCAGAATCGTCTCGTCGTTGGCGTGGTTAGACAACTCTAGTAAAATTTCAAGACTACATAATTTCGAGCTGCAGTCGTGCAAGCCCCGAATGCACGACGTCACGAGCGAGATGATTATCACCAAGCCTTCACTCTCGCCCTTGTCGCACTTTTCCAAATCGTACTTCTCGTCGTCTTCGTAGGCGTGCTTTATGGGTCCGAGAAACTTGAAAATGTTTCCTATGTCGCTCTTCAGTCGGAGGATTTTTTCGTCCGGGGACAGTATCGGGGTTGAGGAAAAAATCAGCATGTAGGACTGTAGGAACGTGAAGAAGTACTCAGGGAATAGTTTTCCGCGCTCTTTGGCTAGGTAGTCTTCGGCCGAGAGGCGTTTCGACGGGTCGATTTCTATCATGCTCGAAATCAGAGACTTTAGCGAGGGGTCGTTGAGTTTGTCTAGGTGCTTCTGGGGGGAGTATTTGCCGGATCTGTACGCCAAGAGTTGGGAGTATTCGAAGGGGACGTGGAGTTCGTTCCACAGTTCCAGGAGGGCGCACCTTAAATATAGACCATTTATACCATAAAAATTTGTAAGTTTTTAAAGAATTTGGTGTTCCAACTTCAAACTTAAATCGTAAAATGTTACTTTATCATTTTTAACATGCCAATTTTGACGTTGAAGTGTTTTTTTTTATTATTTTTTTACATTTTTGTACATACTTTTCTTTTCACGACAAGACACTGAAAACATGTTTAAAAGGGTAAATTTGTAGAGAAGTATCTGGGATAAAATTTACTATTTTTTTGATGTTTTCAATTTCTTGTTATGTAGAAAAAACAATATGTATTAAGAAGAAAAACCAATGAAAAACATAAGCCCCACCCACCCACCCTGTCTCAATTGTGGCGCTTTTTCTTTATTCGTCGTTAGACAAGGAGGGCGGAGCTTAATTGCAAATTCCGTATTTTTCCACAAGAATTACCACGTGAACTATGTTCTTCAGTGATAGTGTTGCCCAGAGAAAATTATATGTATTAAGTAAATGTTTATGCTTCGAGGATAGTTAAGATATGTATTTAGAAATTTTGAAATTCCTTAAATTATTGATCATAATGAAACCACTATGCATTTTAAAACTATGCGATTAATTTTTTTAGATTGGCAATATGTGTTGTTGAAAAGTATATCTGTGAAAATGAAATTAAAGAAGTTAGAGCGAGTTTAACACACAGAAAGAAAAATATACCGAGTGATAATTTTTTATTTCGGTTTTGCAATTTTTCGATTTTACAATTTTCCGTTTTTTTAAATTTTCCACTTTTTCAACTACTCAGTTGCTTGATTTTTAATTTTTTGATTTTCTCACTCTTCGTTTCCTTAATTTTTCGATTATACCATTTTTTGTATCTTCAATTTTTCGTTTTTTTCATTTGTTGATAACAATTTTTCAATGTTACCATTTACGGATTTTACAATTTTTCGATTTGGAATTTTTCACTTTTACGTTTTTCGATTTTTTAACTTGAAGTTTTTCAGGTTTGGGTTTCTTTAATTTTTTGATTTTACAATTTTTGAACTTTTTAACTTTTGAAATTTTCACTTCGTATTAGATTCTTCGATTATTTGATTTGGAATTTTTTGATTTTTCAATTTTTGAATTTTTCACTCTTTCGTTTTTCGTTATTCCATTTTTCGTTTCTTCAATTTTGCGATTGTTCTTCAACTTTTCGATTTCCCAACTTTTGAAATTTTCAACTACTGAAATTTTCTCTTTTTCGGTTTGTAATTGTTTGGTTTTACAATTTTTTTATTCAGTTTTTGGTTTTTTCAATTTTTCCATTTTCTGCTTTTTCGATTTTTATATTATCAATTTTTATTTCTTGATTTTTCACTGTTTGTCGATTGCAACTTGTTAATTTCGATTTATCAACGTTACCATTTTCGGATTTTACAATGTATTGTTTCTTAGATTCTTCAATTTTTCGATTTTCATTTTCCAACTACAGATTTTTCACTTTTTCGTCTCTTCAATTTTTCGATTTATAGTTTTGTGATTTTACAATTTTTCGTTTTTGGAATTTGTTGAGTGCAATTTTTCGATGTTAATATTTTTCGTTTCCTCACTTTTTTCAATTTTTTTTCTTCAATTTGTCGTTTCTTCAGTTTTTGTTTTTTTCCAATTTTGGTTTCTTTAGTTTTTCGTTTCTTCAATTTCCGATTCTTTAATTTTTCGTTGCTCAATCTTCCGATTTTCAAACTTAAAAATTTTACTTTTCCGCTTTTTCGATTTTCTCATTTATTATTTTTAGATTTTTCAATTTTTGAATTTTTAATCAATTGTTCGATTTGAAATTTTTCGATTGTGATGTTTTTCAGTGTATCGTTTTTTTTTTCATTTTTTACTATCTGAGATTTTAATTTTTTTGGTTTTTCGATTGCATTTTTTAATTATATATGTACAATTACTGTATTTTACAATTTTTCGTCTAGATCTATGAATTTTCCAATTTTTAGAATTTCAAAATTCACAAGAATAACATCATTACAATTTGCGTAGGCGGAGCTTAAATTTTGCTTTTTTTCTGGATATACGTAACAATCTTTTCACGACAACACATTTAAGACGTTCGGTCTGACAACGAATGAAAAATTCATCACAATTGACACTGGGGTGGGTGGGCGGGGTTTGCTTTTTTTTTCTTAATATACGTAATTTCCTTTTCATGACAAGAAACTGAAAACATTTTTAAAAGGAAACATTTGTAGAGAAGTGTATGGAATAAAATTTACCATTTCAAACATTTTTTCAGTTTCTTGTTATGGAGAAAAAACAATATATATTAAGAAAAAAAAAAGCAAAACATAAGCCCCACCCACCCACCCTATCTCAATTGTGACGCATGTTTTTTTGTTCGTCGTTAGTCAAAGGGGGCGGAGCTTAACTGCAAAATCCGTATTTTTCTACAAGAATTACCATGTGAAACATGTGCTTCAGTGATGGGTTTTTCAGTATCGTGTTATTCAAAGAATACTATGAATATTAAGAACAAATAAAAGCCAAAGATTAAGCCCCACCCATAACTACCCTGATCTAAATAGTAATGAAGTTTTCATTAGCTGGCAGACCTAGGGGCGGAGCATAATTGCAAAATTCAATTTCCCTACAAAAATTTAATGTTTTGAGTTTCTTGTTGTGAAAAGAAAACTATGTATATTAAGAAAAACAGAGGCAAAATATAAGCCCCGCCCACCCACCCGGTTTCAATTGTGATGATTTTTTTATTCGTCGTGAGCCTAGAGGGCGGAGCTTAATTGCAACATATGTATTTTTTTCAAGAATTACCAAGTGAAACATGTTCTTTAGTGGTGGTGCTGGTCAGAGAAAACTATATGTATCAAGTAAAAAAAATCTAATAGTATTCTTTGAACAACACGATTCTCAAAAACATGTTCTTAGTTTCTTGTAAAGAAATAAGTATTTTGCAGTTAAGCTCCGCCCCCTTGGTTCACGGCGAATAAAAAAAAATCATCACAATTGAGGGGTGGGCGGGCTTATATTTTTGCCTAACATTCCAAACATTCCAAAGATTCCAAATACTCCTAATAGTTCAGTTTTTCTTTTTTTTTTAATTTTAGATATTTCGATTTCTCGATTTTTCGATTTTTTAGTACTTCAGTTTTCAATTTTACAAATTTTTCGGATTTTTAAATGTTAGATTTTTCACTTTTTTGATGTTTGGATGTCTCGATCTTTCGATTTTTCGACTTCTCGCTTTTTCAATTTTTCGACATTTTTCAGTTTGAGGATTTTTCAAGTTGTTGATTCTTCAAATTTTCGATTTTTCAACATTCAATTTTTGGCGTTTCTAAATTTTCGATTTTTCCTTTTCTCAATTTCTCTATTGAGCGATTCTTTGATTTTTCGACTTTTCGATTTCCCAATTTTTCGATTACTTTATTAATCTCTACTGTTTGATTTCTAGATTTTTCAATTTTTCGATTCTTCAATTTTTCAACACTTTAATTTCTCGTTTTTTTAAATTTTAGATATTTCTATTTCTTGATCTTTCGATTTTTCGACTTCTCGCTTTTGGATTTTTCGATTTCTCAATTTTCATGTTTTCCGTTTTCCGGTTTTTAAATTTTTCAATTTTCCGATTTTGCAATTGATCGAGATCTCGATGTATAGATTTTTTTTTGCACCATTTATCGTTTCTTCGGTTTTTCGATTTGCAATTTTTGGATTTTCCACTTTTCCGATTTCGCAATTTTTTCGTTGTTTTCGATTTTTCAGTTCTCCAAATTTTTTTAATTTTTCAATTTCTAATTTTTCGTTTTTTCAACTTTTCGAACCAAAAAAATATAATTATTTAGGACTAGTTTGAAAGAATCTAGGGGACCCCATTTGAAATCGATTTTTGGTTTTTCGTCTTCCCGATTTTTCAATTTTTTGTCTTCTGAAGTTTTCAAAGTTTCATTTGTAAGATTTTTCAATATTTCGATTTTTTTGACGTTTGGATTTTTGGATTTTTACTTTATCGATTTTTCAAAATTTTTCGAGTTTTCAAAATTTTTGCGATTTTTAGATTTTTGGATGTTCTGATTTCTCAATTTTTAAATTTTTTGACATTTTAATTCTTCGATTTTTTAAATTCTAAATACATAATATATTTTGCCTTCTTTTAAAATATATTTCACTACGAAAATTTATCATTTTAACCATGTTTTAAGTTTCTTATTGTGAGAAGAAAACTATGTATATTAAGAAAAACAGAGGCAAAATATAAGCCCCGCCCACCCACCCTGTCTCAATTGTGATGACTTTTTTTATTCGTTGTGAGCCTAGAGAGCGGAGCTTAATTGCAAAATTCAATTTCCCTATAAAAATTTAATGTTTTGAGTTTCTTGTTGTAAAAAGAAAACCATGTATATTAAGAAAAACAGAGGCAAAATATAAGCCCCGCCCACCCACCCGGTCTCAATTGTGATGACTTTTTTTATTCGTCGTGAGCCTAGAGGGCGGAGCTTAATTGCAAAATCCGTATTTTTCTACAGGAATTATCATGTGAAACATGTTCTTCAGTGGTGGTGTTGCTCAGAGAAAACTATATGTATTAAGTAAAAAAAAATCTCATAGTATTCTTTGAACAACACGATACTCAAAAACATGTTCTTAATTTCTTGTAAAGAAGTAAGTGTTTTACAGTTAAGCTCCGCCCCCTTGGTTCATGGCGAATAAAAAAATCATCACCATTGAGACAGGGCGGGTGGGCGGACTTATATTTTGCCTAACATTCCAAAGATTCCAAAGCTTCCAAAGATTCCAAATACTCCTAATAGTTCAATTTTTCGATTTTTTGATTTCTCGATTCTTCAATTTTTCGACATTTCAGTTTTTCTTTTTTTTTTAATTTTAGATATTTCGATTTCTCGATTTTTCGTTTTTTTTGTACTTCAGTTTTCAATTTTCAATTTTTCGGATTTTTAAATGGTAGATTTTTCACTTTTTTGAAGTTTGGATGTCTATCTTTCGATTTTTCGACATTTCAGTTTGAGGATTCTTCAAGTTGTTGATTCTTCAAATTTTCGATTTCCCGATTTTTTGCTTGTCGACTTTTCGATTTTTCAACATTCAATTATTGGCGTTTCTAAATTTTCGATTTTTCCTTTTCTCAATTTCTCTATTGAGCGATTCTTTGATTTTTCGACTTTTCGATTTCCCAATTTTTCGATTGCTTTATTTCTCTACTGTTTGATTTCTAGATTTTTCAGTTTTTCGATTCTTCAATTTTTCGACACTTTAATTTTTCGTTTTTTTAAATTTTAGATATTTCTATTTTTTGATCTTTCAATTTTTCGACTTCTCGCTTTTGGATTTTTCGATTTCTCAATTTTCATGTTTTCAGTTTTCCGATTTTGTAATTTATCGAGATCTCGATGTATAGATTTTTTTTGACTTTTCGATTCTACGGTTTTTCAATTTTTCGACATTTCAGTTTTTCGATTTTTTTAATTGCAGATTTTTCGATTTCTCGATTTGTAGTTTTTTTATTTTTAGTTTTTCGAGTTTTTAAATTTTATTTTAACAATTCTTCCATTTTTCGATTTTACGATTTTTGATGTTTCGAATTTCCGATTTTAAACTTTTTAGTATGTATGCACATATTAAAATTTTTCGGCTTCTAATTTTTTTGATTTCTCGATTTTTCAAGTTTTCGACATTTCAGTTTTGGGATTTTTCAATTTCTCGATTTCTCAATTTTTATGCAATTCAATTTTTGGGAATTTATCAAAATCTCATTTTTTTTTCAATTTTTCGCCTTTTCGGATTTCGATCTTTCGGTTTTTCAATTTTCGATTTTTAAAATTTGTCCATTTTTTTTTCGATTGTTTGATTCCTCGGTAGTTTTTGTAATTTATCAAAGGACCGGGATTTGTTAAGGTTTCCATTTATCGTTTCTTCGGTTTTTCGATTTGCAATTTTTGGATTTTCCACTTTTCCGATTTTGCAATTTTTTCGTTGTTTTCGATTTTTTCAGTTCTCCAAATAAATTTTTTTAATTTTTCGTTTTTTCAACTTTTCGAACCAAAAAAATATAATGTTTTTGGACTAGTTTGAAAGAATCTAGGGGGCCCCATTTGAAATCGATTTTTGATTTTTCGTCTTCCCGATTTTTCAATTTTTTCTCTTCTCAAGTTTTCAAAGTTTCAATTGCAAGATTTTTCAATATTTCGATTTTTTTGACGTTTGGAATTTTGGATTTTTACTTTATCGATTTTTCAAAATTTTTGCGATTTTTAGATTTTTGGATCTTTTGATTTCTAATAATAATAATAATAATAATCATTTTATTTCCAGAGAGACAAATACATTTGTATGGAAATCGTCAGTATAAAAAACAAAACAAAAGAGAATACATTACAAAGACATACATCAAACTAAGAATTCATTCACTGTATACAAACACTTCTTAACTAAATAATATTTTAGCTTATTTTTAAAGAGCCGCAAATTTGTAGTAGCTGTAATTTCCATAGGTAACCTATTATACATTTCTAAACCTGATACAAACAAACAATTTTTACAAATGGTTTTTTTCTTGAATGGAACATGAAACAGATTTTTTTGTCTTGTATTTTTGTCATGGATTTCATAATTTTTGATGAATTTATCCCGACTTTTATGTACATATGTGCAACACTCATAAACATACAATGATGGTAAAGTTAGAATTCCTAATTCAGTAAAGTATACCTTACATGATTGTCTCTGTGATACCCCTACCATAACTCTCACAATTCTTTTTTGCAACAGAAAAACCTTTTGTAATGATGATGATGAGCCCCAGATACAAATCCCGTACCCGTACCTGAGCTGAGACTCTACTTGAGCATAATAAATCATTAGCAAATGCCCTATATCGAATACACTTCGGATATTACAGATTAAAAAACATGTCTTAGATAATTTATTTGTTAATTTTTCACATTGCGTGTACCAGCACATGTTATCATCTATAGCTAGATCTAAAAAATTAACATTGTCATCTCTCGATATGTTGTTATTATTCAGCGACAAGGTTATATTATCTAGGTCAAACTGTATATTTTTTAGGTGAAACCGGAGATATTTGGTTTTATTTTGGTTCAAATATAAAGAATTTGCCCTAAACCAGTTTAACATCGTGTGTGTAGCTTCATTACAGATACGCTGCATTTTTGTTGGGTCTTTGTCTGAGATGAGTAATGTTGTATCATCCGCGTATAAGGTGAGATGAGTATCAGGACCAACATTCTTAAATAAATCATTGATATATAGGACAAACAAAATTGGCCCGAGAACAGACCCTTGAGGTACTCCCATTGTGGTAGTTAACGTGTCTGAATTTACATTATATACAGAGTTCTTTTTTCTCAATTTTTAAATTTTTTGACATTTTAATTCTTCGATTTTTTAAATTCTAAATACATAATATATTTTGCCTTCTTTTAAAATATATTTCACTACGAAAATTTACCATTTTAACCATGTTTTAAGTTTCTTATTGTGAAAAGAAAACTATGTATATTAAGAAAAACAGAGGCAAAATACAAGCCCCGCCCACCCACCCAGTCTCAATTGTGATGACTTTTTTTATTCGTGGTGAGCCAAGAGGGCGGAGCTTAATTGCAAAATCCGTATTTTTCTACAAAAATTACCAAGTGAAACATGTTCTTCAGTGGTGGTGTTGGTCAGAGAAAACTATATGTATTTAGTAAAAAAAAAAAAAATCTCATAATATTCTTTGAACAACATGATTCTCAAAAACATGTTCTTAGTTTCTTGTAAAGAAATAAGTATTTTGCAGTTAAGCTCCGCCCCCTTGGTTCACGGCGAATAAAAAAAATCATCACAACTGAGATAGGGCGGGTGGGTGGGCTTATATTTTGCCTAACATTCCAAAGATTTCAAAGCTTCCAAAGATTCCAAATATTCCTAATAGTTCAATTTTTCGATTCTTCAATTTTTCGACATTTCAGTTTTTCTTTTTTTTTAATTTTAGATATTTCGATTTCTCGATTTTTCGGTTTTTTAGTACTTCAGTTTTCAATTTTCAATTTTTCGGATTTTTAAATGTTAGATTTTTCACTTTTTTGATGTTTGGATATCTCTATCTTTCGATTTTTCGACTTCTCGCTTTTAGATTTTTCGATTTTTCAATTTTTCGACATTTCAATTTTTCGATTTTTTTAATTGCAGATTTTTCGATTTCTCGATTTGTAGTTTTTTTATTTTTAGTTTTTCGAGTTCTGCAATTCAATTTTGGGGAGTTTATCAAAATCTCATTTTTTCCAATTTTTCCACTTTTCGGATTTCGATTTTTCGGTTTTCCAATTTTCGATTTTTAAAATTTGTCCATTTTTTTTCGATTGTTTGATTCCTCGGTAGTTTTCGTAATTTATCAAAGGACCGGAATTTGTTAAGGTTTCCATTTATCGTTTCTTCGGTTTTTCGATTTGCAATTTTTGGATTTTCCACTTTTCCGATTTTGCAATTTTTTCGTTGTTTTCGATTTCTCAGTTCTCCAAATTTTTTTAATTTTTCAATTTTTAATTTTTTGTCTTCTCAAGTTTTCAAAGTTTCATTTGCAAGATTTTTCAATATTTCGATTTTTTTGACGTTTGGATTTTTGGATCTTTTGATTTCTCAATTTTTCAATTTTTTGATATTTTAATTCTTCGATTCTAAATACATAATATATTTTGCCTCCTTTTAAAATATATTTCACTAGGAAAATTTACCATTTTGACCATGTTTTAAGTTTCTTACTGTGAAAAGATGGCTATGTGTATTAAGAAAACAAAAAGGCAAAATATAGGCCCCGCCCACCCGCCCTATCTCAATTCTGACGATTTTTTTATTCATCGTAACTCGAAGGGCGGAGCATAATTGTAAAATACTTATTTTTCTACTAGAAATCACCGTGTGAAATATGTTCTTAAGTAATCGTGTTATACAAAGAAAACTAAAGGTATTATCTAAAAAAGAAAAGGAAAAGAGAAGCCCCACCCACCCGCCCCATTCTCAATTGTGATTAATTTTTCATTCGTTGTCAGACTGAGGGGCGGAGCGTAAGTAAACACGTTTGAAGTTTCTTGTGGGGAGAAAGACTACAAATATTAAAAAAAAGGCAAAATATCTGATTCTTAATTATAATAGAAAAAAAAAGTAGATACAACTGTGCATATTTCAATTCATTATTGAGTTTGGTGGTGATTAGACAAAGTCTGAGATTGCTTGATCATGACAACACAGTGACGTCATCTTGACAGTTAGTACGTCAGTCGCCTCTTCGACCAATAGGAATCATTTTCGTTCGCAATGTTTCCAAAAACTTTTCCCGGGTTTTTTAAATTTATTATTATTGACAGCAGTTGTGTACGAATTTGACTCGTGTGAGTGTCACGTTTGGCTGGAAACGAATTCGAAATTTTTCAGTTTTGTCCAAAAAACCATGTTAGTACAAGTACTTTTAATTAAGTTTTTAGAGGGCTGTGACACGGCCATCTTGGTGACTGACCGTTTCGACCAATAGGAATCTCCACATTTTTAGTTTTTTTTTCCGGATTTTTCGGCGCGTTCCTTGGCAAAAGTACCAATTTTTCGTGTTTTTTGGTGTTTATTATCGATAATTGTGTGTGAAATAGTTCGTCAGAGTGCCTTAAAACCGAAATACGTTCATGTGGTTGCGGGGAAACGACAGGTCAGTACCGGTACAATTTTACCCAATTTATAAAAATCGTCACTCACCCTGTCGAAAATATGTCCATGGCTGGTGTGAGATCCCCGCTATCGCACGCCGTTTCGGTAATCAAAGCGCTGTTCTCACTACTCGACGTTTTCGTAAATCTCTCTGGGGCGATGTAGCACGTCCGCCGCCTCGACGTGTCGAAAAAGTACGAATAATCAGCCGGGTTATCATCGGGAACAAATGTGGGTTTAAAAGAGGCGAAATCCACCAATAGCACCCAATTCCACGACGTCACCGTAATGTTTTCTAGCTTAATATCGCCATGACAAACCCCCACTTTATGACACTGGTGCAAAGCGTACAAAATCTGGAACGTGATCCAGCGCTTCTCGATGTTGGTTAAAAACGGTCTGGTGCTAATCCTATCGTACAAACTATATTTCACATATTCCCTGACGATAAGTCCGGCTTTGTCCGTCAGGATGATTTTTTGAAACGGAATGCAGTTGACTGCGCTGGACAGCTTTTTCCGGATTTCATCCAACTGGTCTTTGTAGCTCGAAAGCGGGAGCGAGGGGTCATGGATGGCGAAAACCTTCACCACCACGAGACCTTCCTGAGACTCGGCTCTGGCTACTTTGAAAAATCGGGTGCTCCCGAGACTACAAAAGGCTGATTTAAATTGGATACTTAGAAACGAAAAAAATGCTTACCCGATGTCGAATTTTAACTCCGGGTGGTCGGTGAGGTAGCGCTCCACGGGGAATATCTGGGAAGGGGCGATTCCCACTAGTTGATTTCCCATTTTGTCGCTTCAGTGCAAATCGACGTACATTTTTAATGACAATGTGTCTGTTATTGTTGATAGTGTTGTCGTTTTTGACAGATGACGAACTGACCAATCGCAGCGTCCGAATCAGCTGATTCGAAAATGTGTTAAATTGGTTGCATAGTACCCGGAGCCGACTCGATCTGTCATTCCTGTCACTCCCCTTCTGTCACAGCATCAGTTTTTTTAGGTTATCTACTTGGTTATCTCAAAGTTCCACACAAACACAACCATGTAACAATAATAAACCACTTCATTCCGTTAAAATCGCCATTTTCCAACCACTCATTTAAGTATTTTCGCCGCAATGGAAGTAAACCCTCTGAGTATTATTTTAGTAAAGTCCGACAGCAAAGGCGACCGCCTTCTCTTCCGTTACCCCTTTTATTTCTTAGAGAAAAGCGAACCCGCTAACACGAAACGCCGCAACCCTTACACGCTACCCAACCTAGAAGACCTTCTGCAGTCGCCGACACAACCACTGTCCAACATAAACAAAGGACACCTCACTGGCTTCACCGACGAAGTGCTTTCCTCTCTCTTTGCGGTCAAATCGGAACTGTGCAATAAGAAATTTGAATTGAAAGTGAACGATGTCCGGTTCGTGGGACACCCGACGTTGCTACAACTGAGGAATAAGCAGCAAGACGCCTCTGGTTTGATGTTGATTAACGTAGTTTTTGCTTTACAAGCACTGGCTAGTCATTCAGTCGGTAACGGGGTTTAAAATGGAGTAATCGTCGCTACAATGTGTCTATTTTAGTTACTTGTTACCATGACTTGAGCAAACGCATTGGAATTGCGTTACGGTACGAAGAAAAACGCTGCGGTTATATTAGTGAACAAACGCAGACCATGACGACGGCGCATGACGACGGCTTCGTCAACAATCCAGACGCCGCCTTTCAAATTATTCTAAACAAGTGCACGCTGGCAAGTAACATTAAAAAAATGTATGATGATTTGTGTACCTCGGGGATTGTTAACGTCCAAATCAATAAGTGGATCACAGTTAGTTTTTGTTTGCCTCAAAAAGTGCACCAGTGGCACTTAAGGGGGAAAATCGTCGAACCCAAAGATATAGACAGGTCGGAAATTCATCCACAGTCACAACACAGTTAAAATCGTCCGTTTTCAGATGTCTCAAAGCTTTAAGACCGTATCATAGTTTGTTATTGCTACACCCAATGCAACAAATGGGCGACTTTACCAACTTGGACGGGTCGCCGTCGTTGGAAAGGATGTTAAAACAATATTCACCCATTAAAAACCTACAAACTTTGGCAGCGGATGCAGATTTGACCCTAAATCACGTACGTTACGTTTTTTTTTTTGTCAAAAATAACCCGTTGTTCCAGGTTTTCGAACTAACCGCCCACTTGGTATACTGGGCTAAAGCCACCGTGATTTTCCCCATCTGTCTAACCAACAAATATGTAATCTCTCCAGACGCTCCTATCCATCTTAACTCACCCCTCATTGACAAATTCTCCGAAAGCTTCCCCGCTTCGAATTTAATCCGAGTCATAAGCGACTTCGCCTTACCCACTTCGTTGGGGCAAAAATGTAACCCTTTGTGCCACCCAGCGCAGCAGTCGCACCTCGTCCAGACCATAATCTGGATGTTGCAGCACCATTTGCTTCTCCAGCTTCACACCTACATCCAGTATATACCTACGGATCATGGGCTGGCTGCCTCCAGGGAGCGCGATTTGAGACACCGCAGTTTGCAGCGTAGTGTGGTTTTGTCTAGTTCGTACCAGCCGAGTGCGTCCGAGCATTCGCGAGCCGAGTCCGAGAGTGGTGCGTCGACGGTGTCGGAAACGCCCGAGCTGCGCAGCGAGCTGGACTTGCTTAACAGGAGTATTAAGTCAGATATACGGGTTTGAAGTTTTTCGTGGTTAATTGTTTTGCTGTAGTTTGGAAAGCGTGAGTTTCACGTCGATGGAGGACGAGAAACAGGATTATCAGGAGGAGTTGTTGTTGGATTTTCCGGATGAGGAAAGAGGGAATATTTTTAAGGTAATTTTTAATCGTGGATGCGCCGGTTAAAATCGTAGTTTGTTTATTGGAGATGTTGTGTTTAGATACCAGCTACGAATACTCCGGAAGATTTAAGACTTTTTGCCACGCTGTGTCGGAAGGGGTATTTTCATGGAGATCACCACATTGAAGAAATCATGTACTTGGAAAACTTGAGGAGGAGTCAGTTGTTGCAACTTTTGGATAAATTTAGAGATGTGTTGATTACCTACGAAACGGAGGATCCTGCTATTGCTATGTTTTCATATTCCTAATTTTTAAACACTGTAACGTTTTATACTTAAGTTGTAAGTAAAGTGCGGTGATCACTAAAAGTGATAATAAAGTTTTATATTTTTGCATTTAATTGGCGTGTGCTTGTTTTATTTGTCGAAAAAAAAACGGCGTTCACTCCACTCTAGAAAATTAATGACGTCATCGCATAAATATTTTTATAATAATGATAATAAGTTATCAACCATTAATAGAATTAATTTCGATCCCTGTGGGCCCCAGAAGATGGAGTAAATGGTTTAGAGTTAAAATTTCTGTAGATTTTGCAATAGTAAAAAATTGGTCTAAAGAGTTTAGACAGTACTTCCCTCGCTGTCGGAAACTTGACGACTGCATGGCTATTGTGTTTTTTTCTCATTACATTTTTGTAGTGGGAATTTAAAAAAAATTGTGATGACGTCATCAACATTTTTGCAAGGACACGTATATCAGTTGGGATAGATGTAGTGTAATACTAAGAAAAAAATTATTGTATTCCAAATTTTCGGGAAAATGAATTGGGTCGTTTTGAATATTGATTTTTTATAATCAATAAAATAACGAAACAATTTACTCACGTATACGGCAACTGAAAATCGTTTATGTATAAACATTCTTAATTTAAGATGACAAGCGTAACAGCATACGTGAGAGTCAAACAGAGAAACTGTAAACAAAACGACCATCGGTTTTATTGCTTCGACTTCCGCTTATTATATAAAACATTGGGTTTTATTTTAATTCTTGACGGTGAAATTCACAATTGGTTGATTATAAACATGTCTATTTCACATTCGCGGAACCAAGTGAGCGCATAAAACAAATGCAGGTCTGTAATGTTAAAGTCGATGTAAATAAGCGTGCTACCCTTATGTTTCAACCGAGTTTTTCTTTTAACAAATTTTGTGTCTACCAAATTGGGTTGGTTGGGGTGTAATACTAATAATAAGTGTTGCCTTTAATTTAATCAATAAAATAAATTGACTTCACTAATTTTTTTGAACCACCTCTTAAGAAAATCTAAAAAATATGAATGGAATGATAAATTACAAGTACAAACTCATCATATTTTTTGCATTTTAGATAGGATTTATTCAGCAAAATTTAAGGGTGACGTCATCAATTTTTTTAGGAGGGATGAACAAATACATGTTGAACAAAAGTTTACCATTCTTATAATAACTTTAAAATATTCCCAAGATTTCAAAGCATTCGGTTTTGTAATTCCTAATTAAATCAATAAAATAAATTCACGCCTTCATTAATTTTTTTGAGTCACCCTGCATATGCAAATCCAAAAATATGAATGGAATGATAAATCACAAGTACAGACTCATCATATTCTGTACATTTTAGATACGATTTATTCGGCAAACTTTTGAGCTGACGTCATCAGTTTTTTGTAGAAGATAACCAAATATATTTTGACTAAAAATTTATTATGCTCTTTATAACCTTAAAACATCTGCAAGATTTCAAAGCATTCGGTTTTGTAGTTCCTGATTAAATCAATAAAATAAATTTACGCTTTCATTAATTTTTTTGAGTCACCCTGTATATGCAAATCGAAAAAATTTGAATGGAATGATAAATCACAAGAAGAGACTCACCATATTTTGTACATTTTAGATAGGATTTATTCAGCAAAATTTTGTGGTGACGTCATAAATTTTTTAAGGGGGACGACCAAATACGTTTTGATCAAAAATTTACCATGCTTATGATAATTTTAAAATATCTTCAAGATTTCGAAGCATTCGGTTTTGTAGTTCCTGAGTAAATCAGTAAAATAAATTTACGCTTTAATTTATTTTCTTGAATCACCCTGTATATGCAAATCCAAAAAATATGAATGGAGTGATAGGACACAAGTACAGACTGATCATATTTTGTACATTTTAGATATGATTTATTCGGCAAATTTTCGAGCTGACGTCATCAAGTTTTTGGAGGGGATAAGCAAATATATTTTGACTAAACATTTATTATGCTCTTTATAACCTTAAAACATCTGCAAGATGTCAGAGCATTCCGTTTTGTAGTTCCTGATTAAATCAATAAAATATATTTACGCATTCATTAATTTTTTGAGTCACTCTGTATATGCAAACCAAAAAATATGAATGGAGTGATAAATGACAAGTACAGACTCATCATATTTTGTACATTTTAGATATGATTTATTCGGCAAACTTTCGAGCTGACGTCATCAAGTTTTTGAAGGGGATAAGCAAATATATTTTGACTAAACATTTATTATGCTCTTTATGACCTTAAAACATCTGCAAGATTTCAGAGCATTCGGTTTTGTAGTTCCTGATTAAATCAATAAAATATATTTACGCATTCATTAATTTTTTTGAGTCACTCTGTATATGCAAATCCAAAAAATATGAATGGAGTGATAGATCACAAGTACAGACTCATCATATTTTGTACATTTTAGATATGATTTATTCCACAAACTTTTGAGCTGACGTCATCAAGTTTTTGGAGGGGATAAGCAAATATTTTTTGACTAAAGATTTATGATGCTCTTTATAGCCTTAAAACATCTGCAACATTTCAAAGCATTCTGGTTAGCAGATTAAAAATTAAATTTCAAAATGTTGTTTTATAACTTTGATTTTTTTTTTCAAAAATCTGGACGTTTCGGGTGAAAGTCGATTCAGAGTTGTAAACTACATGTGTAGGACTATGTTATTTTATACAATTGAAAACCCATTTACTATGTACAATTTTGAAGTGACGTCATCGCATTAGTGGTGGGGATGATTAGACAAATTTTGGTTAGTGTTTTACCATCTACATGATATTCTTAATATAAGTACAAAATTTCACAACAATCGGTCGAGTACTTTCGGAGATTATCTGTCTAATAAAAAGCCGGGACGGCAGACGGACAGACGGACCAGCGGACGGACAGACGGACGGACAGACGGACAGACGGACAGACGGACAGACGGACAGACGGACAGACAGACGGAAATGGGAGACCTATTTCTTCGTCTTCTAGGGGGATGAAAGATCGAGAAAACGTAAAAGTAGAGAGTCGGCCGACGGACTCGATTACAATACTTCCTTTGCTTACGCTCGGGAAGTAAAAATCGAATTTTCGACCGACGCTAACACGTGCTGTAAATTTGTTTTATTGTTTGTAAATTCACAGATCAGGTTAGGATTTTAATCGTTAACTGGTTCTAACACAATTTAACAGACATTCGATTTGTTCAGATTGAGCACTTGCAGCAGTTTTCATGAAATTCACTTAGTCAGGATTTTGTTTACAAAATTATGAATAAGTTTCTGGACGCTTATACATAAGTGTTACATTACAACACTTCTTAATTCTTCACACAACATTAGTAATAGTTCATTTACGGCAGTTAAAATTGACCTAACGTTATCTCGCTCTAGGAAAAGACCGTGAAAGTGCGGTAGAATTCATAATATCGTGGACTCAAGTACGGGGGATGAAACATTTCTCCCTTAGGTAGTTCTTATCATCATATCATCATCACATCACCGAGATATCTTTCTTGCAGTGGCGGCTCGTGACTATTTTGGTTGGGTCGGCCAGCAGTGAGTAACCCAAAGTTTTAAGTTTAAGACATAGAATACAAGAACCAGGGACCTCAAGTTAGTCATTATCTATAATTTGCTACCTGTATGGTGTTAATTCATATAGTCCTAACAACTTGGTAAAACAAAATAAAAAATATTCTTCAAATAGGTATAAAGTAAAGCATATACTTATACAATATAAGCCATCTATAATAATAAAATAACGACAATAAACTCAAATAAAAATGAAAATAACATTCAAGTTATAAAGTAACACATTCTAACAAAAAATATAACATGAAACGTCAACAACTATTTATTAGTAAAAAACAAAATCGAAAAAGTAAATTAGAAATTTTTATAAACCAATTCAATGCGTCTTTGTTTTGTATTGGCAAAGTGGTCAATTACTTGATTATAGAACTTTTGATCTTCCGTTAAGTTTGTAAGCACTTCTTTTTCTATTGCTAAAACGAATAATTTGGATAATCGATTTTGACTAATGGAGTTTCTAGTAAAATTTGTAATTCGCTTTAAAGCTGAAAAACTGCGTTCAACATATGCTGATGTGGATGGTAGGTATATGATTAAAATTAAAGACAGAAATAATTTCGGAAGCTTCTACATTTTCGTAAGTAGCATCATCAGGAGCAGGGTTGAGAAATTAGGAAGATGGCAAAAGAGCACGGTAACTCAATATGTCAATCATACCAGACGACCAGAGGCAAAACTCTTTTTCTGAAGTTTTTTTGAATTTATTGTCAACATCATATTAAAAAATTAAACAATATCAACAAAATAGTTTGTTTTTTGACTTGCTCCCCGTCAGCCATTTATAATTTTCATACCATGCTGTATTAATTATTAATTATTAATATGCTATTGCACCGGAGCTGACGTTATTATTGCTCCGTGCTTCGATTAAATGTTGCATGCGCGGCTCCGAACGGCCCATTTCTTTTATATCCAAGGAATTGATCATCGTACGTTAAAAGGCGAAAGTCATTATTTAATAGATGTGTAACAGCATCAAAATTTAAATCAGTTACTAATTCTCTTACTAACTGTTGTCATTGTTACTGAAATTAGAAACAAACCTAAACCAATTTCATCCACGTGAAGACTGCAGAAATTCACAATATACAGATAGCGGCCGGCCGGTGCTGGTAGTGGGGAACCGCATGGAAAAGTGCACGGCAGAAGTGCAGTGATGAAACGGAATATTGTACGGTTTCGTCGCTATTGCATTCTAACTTATACAAACAGAAGGTGATAGCGCTATAACAACTTGATGTACTGCCGAACGGCCGGCCGATTTTACCAGATATTTGACCAATCACTGCTGCAGGCGCGTTAATCAGAGTGTTTCAGCCACGTATCAGTCTTTATAGCTATTTCTCTTTAATTCTGCTAAACAGAGAGCGGTAGCAGATATGACATTATTCGACGTTTATTCTTGTAGTCGGCCGGCCTCAGCTGCTGCTCCTCGCAGTAAAAATATTCAAACTTCCCGGCACGATTTGTGCTTCC